GTGAATTTGTCAGCAATGTATTTTTTTCTTTGAACTGGGCTGTATGAAACAGATAAAACCCTCCTCTCTCCTTTGCAGCTGTAGTGCAGAACTCCAGTCAGCCAGCAGGGGGCTTCAGTGGAGTTTGTTCTGGAGTTCCAGCTCATCTGCACATCCACATCAGGAGCGTGGTCATGGGAACAGTGGGGGGTGTGGCACAGAAGATGATCCAAGCAGTAGAGTTGAGGTAGAGTGAATACTTCATCTACATTTTAGTCCAGTTTTTCTTCTCTTAAACAAGATAATATTAGCTGTGTTTTTACATGACTTAACTGACACTCTTTTATTCAGGGAGATGAATTTAGAATTGTTGATTAAAGTTTATCAATGATTAGTTGGCAGTTTTTATGATGATGATGCATATTTTAAGTTCTCCTTCTGGTCTGTTGGGCACACAATTATATTTCGTCACTGTCTAAAGAAAAACTAGTATTTCCAAAAATAGGAACTTTACTGGAGAACACAAACACCCTTACCTTTCAATGTAAGTTTATGTAAAGAGGTTTTATTCCAAGTGATTTTTGAGCATTTCTAGTGGTCCATTTATCATGAAATGTTCACTCAACTTTAAGGACAGCTGATGTGTTGAAATGATGTCGAAAAATGAAAATGGACAAAAATGAAGATACGTGGTTTGGTATTGTTGTTTGTAGATGAATTTGAAATATCAGTTCTGATTTGACTTGATATTCATGAACAATTTTAGAAAAATAAAGAGCTCCTATTATAAACACTTTTATAATATCTACATTATGCATGTATTAGAGGTTAAGCCAATGCTGAGTTTTGTTATTCTTTGACGCTTAAAGTTTTAGAGAAACTACATGGAGTTTGGAGTGTGATGCGGTTGAGGGCAACCCCTGTGTGACTCCACACCTGACGCAGTCTTTCCCTGTGACCTCTTCTGTGACCTTTACTGATACGCCCATCAGTACACAACCGCCAAAGTCCAGGTGAGTTGTAAACACCAGCCTCTCCTGCAGTGCATGTGGTTTATCACTAGGACCGCTGGCACATGACATATTTCTGAGACTTTTTAAAGTCTCCCACGCTAGTGTTGTTGCACTGTCACAAAGCTAAAACAGAGGCTGCGTGAAGATTGCATTGAGTGACACTGAGCTGTAAGGAAAGCAGCCTCTATCAGTGAACAGCAGCACTCAGTTAGTCTAGCAGCTTCTAATTCCAATAGCTTTTACTTCTATCAACATTACATGATTACTGTCTTTTTACACTACAGTTTGAAGCAGTGGTTTGTCAGAAAAGGTTTGTCACTTGAAGCAGACCATTCAGTTATCACATATCAGAACACATTTCTGCCTATTTTTACCTTCAGTCATCTTGTGTAGACCATTTAAAATGGCGTTGTGAAAGAGCTATCGCATTTTTAAAATATTCCCAATTTAACTATAATTAACTTTTATAACCTCAGAATAGTTCAACTAGTTTGCATTGAAGTCCCTGTAGTTACTGTTTAGTAAGCCTTAGTATGTAATAAGCCTGGGATTTTAAGGGGTTAAAGCCAAACACAAGTAGTTGTTGTTTTGTTTCGTCTTAGGCAGTACACGTGTTTGGTGGCGTGTGATATCATTTTCTGGGGCAGTCAAGGGTCGCGAACCAGAAACTACATTTTTGGAGGGTTGCGGGTCCAGAAGTTTGAGAACTGTAGCCGTGGTGTTTGCTGTTTTTATATTTTTTGGCTGTTTACTCTGCAGAGTCTGAGCAAAACTAGCAGTTCTAGTCTGGTAGGCTACTGATGTAAATCAACTGAAGTTGAATGTGCACTTGATGTTTTTGTGTGCATTACATGCAACAGAATTCAGAAATGAATTCTGTTGTATGTAATGCATTTTTTGTAACGATATAATCATCAGCTGATTTGTCCTATTGCATTAATTTGTATTATCATTATATTGAGTTTTTAATATTTTTAATACGTATCATAGCATGCAGATCTGATAAATAGTTTATTTCAGTGTATTTCAGTGACAAGCAGGTACAAAAACCAGTCACTGTAAAGGACAAAAAAGTGATATACTGAATATGTATGTATATATGATAGTGTTCCTGTTCAATTTTTTCTATATATATAAAAAAGTATGACAACATGGTAACTGCAGGTGTACGTTTTCACCTAGTTTTACGTTTGAATTGCTTTATGTGGGCTTTGGCCCGTCTGATGCGGTCAGACCAAATTTGCACCCCTGACTAGGACTCATGTGTAGAGCACACACTTTATTAGAATGCACATGTTTCGTGATAATGCATGGAGATAACCCTTATCTTTTGAAACAGTAAAATAGTTATGTGCCTTACAGAACATCTTTACTTCTGAAAAATCTTGACTAAATGTGTTATTTGGAAGATCCAACATTTATTACAATGTCTGGATATTTATACCAATTTTAATCTAGGCATTTGGCCTGATGCGTTGCCCTTTATTATGCGCACAAGTGAAAGATTTCGTTGTCGTAGGGATGCTGATGCCTGCTCCTGAGATTTTATCCTTTAGCTGAGATTAATTCCAGACCTAAAATTGCACACCTAATCCAGCTACATCAAGTTCATCTGAGGCATCTCAATATCACAGGCAGGGGTGTTAGATTAGAGGTGACCGGAACTCTGTGTCAGGGTAGGTCAGGGTAGACATGCAGAAGAAGCGGCTACTTTTTGTATTGTGGTTGAAAGATGATTATTGATCCTGTGCTCAGTCTGCTCTTGGCAACGTAATCTGTACACATGTATCTACAGGGACTATTGTGCAGTTAAGTACACATTATCATTAAATGCTGCACACATCACATTATCACAGCTTTTATTGCTGCTGATAGCTCTTACACTTATCACTGTGTGCTGCATGTAGGTGTGGACATGCTGAATGATAGTGTAAATAAATCTTAGTCCCTGTTCATACCTGGTATTAACATCCATTTTGAGTGAGAGTTCCTCACTTTGGCAGTTGGTTAAGGTTGAGGTAAAACAGTAAATCATATCTTTTAAAATGTTAATCATGTTTTAAACAGTTTAATAATCTTCTCCTGTTTCTCCACACAGGTTCCGCATTAACTTCACTGAGTTTGACTGTGAGAGGAATGATGTGTGTTGGCCCGAGCTGGCATTTCCTCTGACACCCTACTATACTGGTGAGGCCTAATTCTTTTAACATCTTTACATCGGAAGAGAGAGAAGGTATCAGACATAAAATCATATGCAAAAACCTGGACATGCCTAATCAAATTACATGTTGATTTTCTACGTAAAAAATAAATTAACACATCCTTTACAGGGAACAAACTTAAATATGGCATTTTTAGCCATGTCTGTTTATTTGACGCATTAACATGTTGGAAAAAATAAAATACAAAAATGTTTTAAAAAAATACAAAATATGCCTATAACTTTTTCAGAGGCCACATTTAATGCTGCATTTTTCCTAATATGTTAAATTCTATGAATAAACAGTAATTGGGCAATAAAATGTGAAGGAGTGTGTTTTCTGCTGCGGAAAAAAAGATGGTTAAATCATGCAATATTTCCTACTTTTCTTATTAAAATAATACTGAAATTTAATGTAACCTAATGAAATTACACTGGTTTAAAGTTTAGGCTTGCTTAACCCCTTCGTTTCTGAAGTTCTATAGGTCTACATTTCATTTCCTCACTCTGAAAGCTGTTTTTCATAGTAGTTATCAAATAGTTTGTAGGAGTTATTAGACAATACGCCTTAACATTAATGTCTCAGTAATAAGCCTAGTGTTTGAGGGTTTAGTTGGCTGGTTGTATGAATAAGTGGACTGGTTAGTCATGTGTGAATGTATGTGTCTGCAGGTGAGCCGTACTCGCAGGCTCTGGCTAAAGGACTGATCCTTGTCTTCTTCTTCATCGCAGCGTCTGTGTTAGGAACACCATGGAGACAAATCAGACAGGCGTGGAGTAACACTTCACTCTGACAGCTGTATATGTGTGTATGTGTGAGTGTGAGTGTGAGTGTTAGTGTGTGTGTGTGTGTGTGTGTGTGTGTGTGTGTGTGTGAGAGAGAGAGAGAGAGAGAGAGAAAGTTTCCATGAGAATATGCTGTAACTGTCTCTGTAAATGTTTACAGAGTGTGACTTTATGAATGACTGTAAAAGAGAGAGAGAGACACGTATTTTATTATGCTGCTTTCTCTTGCTTTTATAAACCAATACCTTCAGCTTCAGCTGGAGTTGATGGACTGCTCTGACGTGCTGTAGACACTATGAGAAATGGAGTTTTTCCTCATCAATGTATTTGATTTGTTATTTTGAGAACTTTTTTCTACAAGATTTTAGCTCTCTTAAACTGAGAGCTAGTAGATATTTGTATATAATGTTATTTATTGTTTGTGTTGTGTTCTGTTCTCTTTTTGACTGAATTATTTGTTAATAAACTCTTAAAACCTTCTTAATGCCTAAAATCCTGTTTAAAGCTTGTGCCAGTTGTAAATCCTATGTACCATAGACTGGGCAGCTCCCCTTAATCCACCTACCCCTTGATCCAAACAATTTCAGTTCCGTTGTTTGTTTGGCCTTAGCGTTAGTTAATTTTAGCACCACTTAATTAATTTTAGCACCTCTTGAAGAACACATGCTGTCAAAAATGTAAATCTTAAAATCTGTCTTAAACTAAGAGCAATCAGGACTTTTCATTCAGCTGAAGTTTCAAACCGTCTTGTGATGGACAGACACCTATTGCATTGGGCCCTGATGCTGAAGTAAATAGTAATAATAATAGTAACATATAGTAATAGTGGCATTCTGAAATAATAAATATCATTATTATTGGAAAGAAACGCTTCCCCCAATGTGTTTATTAGCGCAAAAGACTATGACGGGGCTCTAATTACTGTGACGTCATTAGAACTGGCGCGTTTAGTCGTGCGTGTCTAACATGGGCGTGTCTTGTTGTCTTGTACACTCCGCCCCGTTACGCCCCCAGTGGGAGGGATGAGGAAGTGGCTCTGTCAGGCAGTGTGAGTGAGTGAGCGACAGTCGCTCCATCTCTCACTCTCACTCTCTCCTCCGTTCATTCGGGCCTGTTAGCTGAAGCGGATGAAGGCGAGATGAGTGGCAGAGTCGGAGACCTCAGCCCCAAACAGGCCGAGGCTTTAGCGCAGGTGAGTTATTTCAGCTGCTGCTTCTTGCTGTGCAGCTTTCATGCTGTCTGTAAAGCCTTAACGGTTTCAGACGTCGGAGAGCATCGAAGCGCGCGTTGTTATTCCTCTCACCGGGTGGCCAAAGGGCGTGACGTGTGTGCATGTGAGATGCATCAGCTCAGTGTTAATGCACTGTTTTGAAGCTGGGCCTGAAGCAGGACTGTATCTGTTTTGGCTGCTTCTGGCTGTGCATCTGCAGATGGAGGGAGGGTTTGATTTGATGCAGCCTCGTGCTGAATCATGCACATGTTCTGCCTGGAGCTGCTGCCAAAACCAGAAGATGTTTTGATTATTTGTTATAAAGTTATTCTCTTCACTGGTGTCTTGTTTGTTATCTTAATATTTAATGCACTGTTCCCTTCCCTTCTTGTTTGACTGATTGATATCAGTCTTTGCCAGTCATCTCACCAAATGCCCTCTATCTTTTTCTAAAACCTTTTCTGCTGGACAGTTTCGTGAGAAGATACAAGATGTTCTGCCACAGTGTCCTTCTCAGAGTGACCACTTCTTACTGCGCTGGCTTAGAGGTGAGAACAAGGCGGATTTATAGGACTGTGAGTCTGTAACAGATTTCTTGTGCCTTAGCGGTTATTAAAAACTACCAGTACATCTCCAGATGGATCCTTATCTAAGTAACTTGTCAGGGAGAGTACCTATTAATAAACACTATTAAAAGAATCATAAATGAGTCAGAGTTAACCCAAGAGGCAAACTGTCATTTGCCAGATGTTAAAATGCACTGTGTTCAGTGGAACAAAACACTTGCGGACTTACAAGCTGGCTTCCCAAAGCAACGTTAATCTTAAACCTTTACAAAGACTTTACAATGTAGTACAAAACTAGTGTTTTGAATGTATAATTCAAATGTGTGAATCAGTTGAAAAAAAATATTTAAATCAACACGTTTTTTGCCAATTTCATTAAACTGTAAGACGGTAGTGTTGAGGTCACATATTCACGTGCTAAATGAGGAACTAAATCACACATTTGAGTCAGTGTAGGCTTAAATAAGGCCTGTGTCCACAAAACCACATGAGCAGCCTCATGTCCAGTGTTTTATAAGCATGCTGTAACAGTAATATTGCAATAAGAGAGTAGCTGAGCTGCTGTGTTAGTTACCATGCAAACCCCTGTGAGGTCATGAGAGGTCTATGTAATGTACCCTCTCACACAAATCTATTTGTCACACAGTTGCACATAAAATCATGCAGTGGGCTCCCAGTGAAAGGATCTATTGTTCTGTCCTGACGCAGCAGCAAGCAGAATGAACCAGATTAATCTCAACTGTAATCCGATTAGAACTGTGAAACAAAACATTTCTGTGGATTCAAGTAGGCCTGCAGTTTCCCAATGTGGCTGTCAGAACTGCAGACTATATTAGCACCAATATTAGGAATATAAGTTTGCTAAATGTCCATTTCAGACATTTCATAAAGCCATGCACAGGTTTCAGCACAATGTAAACTTTCAGTACTTTATTTCTACATCAGTTGGGCTCGAGAGACTTTTATCCAAAGGCACCAGGGCTGTTTTCCTAGAAGCCTGGGGCCTGTGACAATAGATGTCTGTGTTCAGAGCCAGCAGCCCTGAAAGGCTCTGATTATGTCTGGTCAGCATTAATGGAGAGCAAAGGACGAGAGATATATCAGCATTCTAATGATAACATGATCACAGCTTTTATCTAAGATATGTGCCCTTGATTAAGAACACTGTATGTCCATCTGTCCATCCAGATTTCCTGCTGAAATAAAGAGTATTAATAGAGATTTGTCACCCCTTTGCTGTAGCAACAGACTCTGCTCTTCTAGAAAGGCTATTACACTAAATGTTGGGACAGTGTTATGAGGATTTGATTGTATTCAGCCACAAGAGCATTACTGAGGTTGAGTACTGATGTTGGATGATGAGATCTGGATGACAAAAGGCACTCCAACTCATCCCAAAGGTACAAGGTACTCCACAGCCCAAAGCAGAGGGGCTATGTATCTGTCTAGCTGGTGCTTTGAATGGCATGGTGACCTTAGGCTCACGTGTGGCTGCTCCAGAGTGCCTCATTTTATTGGCAATGCCTCTCTAAGGAGTGTACAGTTGAATGACTGTGTGGCTGCAGTGGGTGCAGATTCACGTAGGTGAAGTCAGTAATTCTGTGTGACGTCTTTTGGACATAATCTTATTTGAAATCCCATCTGCTGCAGTGGTTATTATCGAGGTCCAGAAGGATGTAGTATTGATGTTTGGCTGTTTTTATGATAGTGTGTGCCCGAGTGAGTCTACATCATTTATTGTGACTGGTGCATCCATTTGGTGCAGTCAGTGGCGTTTTATAAGAGTTACCTCATGGTTTTATGGGAGATAAGATTAAACTCATACTGAATGAGACTGCCCATGTTAAAGATATGAGATACAGTTCAGACGTGTACTGTGCTGAGTCTGCTTTCAGCACAAAGATCACTGTAAGGTGGCAGAGCGAGTATCACTTTGAGCACATCTAACAGTTAAGATTATCTTATGTATTGGGAAACAAGGCTGACACTATGCCTTTGGGTTATCACAGATGAACTGTTTTAGCCTGGCCAGTCCATCCTAGAGACGGGACAATTGAGTTTAAATTGTGGAACATTTGATGTCTGAAATTTCTTTGCAAATTTGTGTTTGGAGGAATGACTAATAGAAGCCCCTAATGGTCCATCCCTATACTGATATTAGGGGCCTAAAATGTTGACAGTATTGGCAGATGTAATTTAATACTTATATTTTAGATTCAAATTTAATACACCAATGGTTTAATTACTGTGCTTTACTGGCAAATATTGTTATTGCCACTTCACAATTATTTAACTCAAATAAACAGCAGAAAATGTAGATACTCATTATATAAGTATTGTTAGCACTGTGGGTGGAGACACCCATAATTCTTACGGTTTTGGTTTCTGCTAATCTACCTCTTATTTTTTGTATTAGTTGTTAGTTATCTTCTTTAAAAAAGCTTTTTTGTGTGTTATAATGTAATGCTCATGCTAAGTTTAGGTTCAGGTACGTCTTTCGGTAACAAGAGAATGCCACATCACCGCTTCCTAAATATCCCAGTTAAATAAAACAAATAAGTTGACTAGCTCTGATTTTAAAATCTGATTGGCTGAGCCACATTCCAAGTGGTGGTGAAATACTCAAAATACACAAACAAGTAAATTCTATACTAATGCATTAAGTTATTAAAAAGACACTGTGTTGTTTTGTTTGTTGTTTGGCAGCCATAGCCTACTGTTACTGAACTGCATTACTAAACTGCATTATAATAAACATAGAATTGTTTTTTGTGATTATTATTAAAAATACAGTGAATAATTTATTGAGTATTAATGAATTATGTACTATTTTCCCCACTGCTTCATGTTTTGCCTAACAACACCTTTTAAACGTGGTAAAATCACTGTAACTCTTGTTGCTGTGTTAAACACTCCTGTGGCATGGATTGACCCAGGAAGTGAGCAGAAATTGGTTGGAGACAGGTGTCAGATCTGTCTTAACCCAGTGACCGCTGCTGTCAGCTGTATAACATAATCCCCTTAATGCGGATTACACTTCTTAATACTACTGTATGACATAGTCATTGTGGATCAGGTCTGCCACCGGATCAGTCACATGCAAACATGTGTCACAGAGTGGACATTAATTCATTGAGCTACACGTTCAGGGCTGATGCAAATACCGTGTGAAGAGGCATGTTTTTCGAGATGGTGTTTGTAAGGGTCGAGGCATCACAGCTGAATGTTAGAACTGACTACCAGGGCCTCTAACAGGGAGCTATTAGGGGGTGAAGACTAAAAAGTCTGCTTTGGTGTACAGTTTTACATTGTGAAGTAATTAGTGTGATGAACTGAATGAATACAATATAAATACAAACATAACCTTTAGAGACACTCCCCCGCCTCTCCCTGCTCAAATGGTGTAGTCCACACAGCATCTAGATTTGATCACAGATAATCGTGGTGGCTGCTGCTGACAGAGAAAAACCATGAAACATGAAAAGTGAGATAAAGTTGGGGTGACAAAAAAAGGAAAGAGAAGAAACGTCTTCAATTGGCTGTCAGTAGCACGATAAGGATACATGTTTTTTTTTTTCAAATATAGCTGATTATATCATTTTCAGAAGTTGAGATGGGAGCCTGCAGAAACCGCATTTGCACAGTGCCCAAAAGTTCGTGGAACAACTTTAGCTAGTAGGGCTGTAACAGTACAACACCTTGTATTGTATTGTAATGTATAGTATTGTCTTGTTGCTTTCTGGCTAGCATATTAGCTTGTGGATAGTGTGTTAGCTCAAGGCTAACATGTTAGCACGTGGCTGCTGAATTAGACCGGGGCACTATAAAAAGCACTGGATTTTTATAACGCTAATAAACTGAATAGATCAGTCAAGATGGCACGATGCCATTCTGAAGTCTTAAATATTACACTTGTAATGTTGAGTTGTAATGCCCTAATAAATTAAAAAAAAATGAACGTAAACATGTTAGCTTAAGGCACGTTTCAGTAGGAATGCATGATTTATTATTTATTACAAAGTATACAGTTATTTTTTCTGTAATGCCAAGTCAGATGGATATAGTCTCAATTTATTTCTAAATTATATAATTGTTTTTTCAGCTTTGGCAGATACCTAATCAAAAATGTTGGATATCGTATTCAGCCCACAAGTGCAGTATCACTGCATCCCTACTTTTCAGGCACTCGTATTTTTCCACTGTATTTAAAAATGTATTGAATCAGGACTCGACCATACTGAACTGAATTCTGAATTTTATGAATCATTCGTTACAGCCTTTCTGGTCAGGAGTAAAGGTGAAAGAAAAATGTTGTGTTTGTTTTGCTCATATTTTGAAGGCCGGAGCACATTTAACTCATTAGAACATACAGAATTTATAAAATCTGCGTCACATTTCAAAGCAGCTCATCTTAACAACAGCAAATTAAGTCAGAGGATCTGTTTCAGGAAATCAGATGTCCTGCAGAGTTTAGTTCCAGGACTCCACTTTTGTAAAACAACTACCTGTGGAACATCTGTATATTAGAGTAAGGCTGTGATGAGTCTTTGCAAGGCAACAGCTCTACAAGAGAGCTTGATTTTAAATGACTAGTGATGCAGAATCAGTTGTTGCTGCAGAGTTTTCCTATCAGTAGCACAAGACCACGTTTTTCTTATCAATAGACTGAGTGAACTCTTCACTCCTTCAGTTCTGTTCAAAAGGATGGTTAATGTGTTACCAAAGCATTCCTGAACAACTTCACAGATGGTCTCCTCTGGTCCAGTGTTCACTGTGTAAAACTCCTTAAACTCTTAGAATTTGTACATAGGTCCACACTTCAGTTCATCTCTCTCGTAACTATTTAACGTAATGTTAGTTTTATGGTTATAATACTTACTTAATAGTAAATTAAGGGGTTAAGAAACTCTAGATCTCTGCAAAGGATCAATATATATGGACCATTCTACTGAATTAGTTCAAACTGGGGTCCCACAATAAAATAAAATAGATTAGTTATTCAAACTTTAGATATTTACAAGGCCTATGTCACAATCTATACCCAAGGCATTAATTAATAGGTATGGCTATAAGCTATATACAAAATACTTGTGAAAACAATACTTAAGTTTATTTGTAGTTTTTTGCAATGTTTTTTAAAGATCTTTTTTATTTATTTTAAAGTGAAGTTCAAAGATTTAGACTTCAGCATGAGTTTAATTTTTAAAGAAAAAACTTTATTCAGAAAATGTTTAATACTAAATTGCCCCTAGGTGTGAGTGTATGTATGTCTGCCCTGTGACGGACTGGCTTTTCCTGCCTTCTGCCCAATGAGCACTGGGATAGGCTCCAGTGTAATGCTTACACTTTTTTATCTTTGTACTGTGAGTTTTACTAGTGACACATGCCTCCTTCTCCTTCTCTGCTATACTCACTCCTTTTCTTCTTTCTATTCCTCTTTTTCAGCCAGAAATTTCAATGTGCAGAAAGCTGAAGCAATGCTACGAAAGGTATTGCACTTTCCTGTCTGTTTTGTATGATGACTATTATTATTTATATGATTATGATTATATATTATTGCCTTACAAATAGAGTAGACTTGTGTGTAAATACTGTAAGCAGACTAGCAGACAGTCGCCCATGGTCAAATTATGTAAAATTATATAAAAATAAGTTAACACATCCTCCACAGAGAACACACATTTGTACATTTTAATGCACAATTACTGTTTATTCACTGAATTTAACATACTGTGCAAAAGTTATGATACATTTGATTTTTGTACATTTTACCCATATGGTAACTAGAATAGGGAAATAGAAATTGTGCACTAAAATGCTAAAATTAAAGGGAAATTCCACTGATTATAATTCGTTTTTTATGGTGTAAACAAAGTGGAGACACTGACGTGGAATGCACCAATTTAGAGAAATGTACCGAGTCAGAATCACTTACAATGGTGGTGATAGGAACCAGACGTCTCTAGTTCAGTGGCTCAAACAGCTACATCACAGAAAGGTTTTACATAAACTTGGTTATGATTTTGTTGCTTGATGCCTTAGACATAATTTTATGTTAGTTTTGAGAGAAAGATTTGGCCTAAAATGTTTTTTTTTTTTTATGATTAGTTCACGATATTATGAGGCAAAAGAACCTGCCCAAAGAAAACATATTTTTTAAGATGTACCACTGTTTTACCATCATCGACATTACATATAAAAACTCAGAAGACATATGTCCACTGATCATTTTGGATCGTAGTAAAATATATTTGCGTTGTTGACATCATGACCCCTGGTTCCTGGTTCACTACCCATATAAAGAAATTGGAGTTAATACATTTCTCTACAATTAACCATTTCACATCAAACCACTTTGAACGACTTTGTTTACATCTCAACAATTGAATTATACAGACATTTTGAGAAATTAGTGGAATTCCCCTGTAAGTTTGTTCCCAGTAGAGTCTACAGTGTAGAGGATGTGTTATTTTCACCTAGAAAACCAATAAAACACATAATCTGACCACTAATGTTCAAACTCTGCCTAAGACTGTATATTTTTACTAGTCCTGCATTTCACCTCACTTATACATGTACAATTTTTTGTAAAATTCTTGTGAAATTTTAGGCACAAAAACAAACTTTATAAAAGACCATATTTACAATGATTACAAAATGTGTGATGTGGAGTTCATCTGTTCTTTCTTAGCAATTGTTGTCAGGTTTGACAAAAAAATCCCTTTCAGTGACAAATTGTAGCACACAACATGGTTTTATTAAAATGCCTGACATTTAGAGTGCGTTATTAATTCCAAATTATTTTTGTTTAGTGAGTCTGGAAGGTCACACTGTTTGAAAAGATGGAATGTAGTTTTTTGTAGTGTGGTCAAGCTTGGTAGTGAATCAATTTAAACTGAAATATTGATGTTATGTAATGACTCTAAATGCTGCAATTTCTTATTATGTTTCCAGCTTTCTGCAAAGCTTGTCCAACCTGCAAAACATAAGCCAATTGAATATCACTGAGCGAAAAATAATTGTTATATTGGTTGATGTTGAATTAAGACTGTTATATATGTGATTGTAAAAATCAACAGAATTTATACATCATATGTGGTTGTTAGTAGTCCAGTGTATGAGCTAAAATTTCAAATACTAAATAGATACTAAAATGACTGAGATGATGCAGATAACTCATTGATTTCCATATCTGAAAGTTTATGATCTATGTGTTCTTCTGAGTACAAATTTGAAGACATGTATCAAATTGATCAAACCATATGACTAAAAAGTGAGTTTTTAATTACTTAGTTTTTCATATTTCCTTCTCCTTTGGTTACATTAGAGTACTGATTTTTAACAACAATAGAAAATCCAAATTTGAATCTGTATATAATTATGAAAATTACATGTAATCAAAAGTTAAAATGGATACTATTGGGTATTAATGCAAAGTGTAACCACACAGATTCAGTTGTTGGATGTGAATGGGTTAATACAAAAGGGCCCATTAGGATTGTGTCTGAGCCTGTATGAATTCCTTTGAGGGGAGACAGCACTTAAGGTGTGGTGGGAACTAGAATATGGGTTGAAATTCATGCAGTACACTCAGTATGATGAGTCAGAGTTTTGGCCAATAACATCAAAGCAGCACTCCAGACCCTGCTCCTGATTGGGCTCTATTAGGCGTCATTATCTGTTCCTTTTATATAAATGAAGGTGACTGAGTTCACTTATCCCTACATTGTTCTGATGAATTTGAGAGAAGGGAGCTCTACAAATTAAAGGTTAGATTTGAGAAATCTGACATTACAGGAGTAACTTTCTTTGGTTGTGAATGCATGTGTTGCAAATGGAAACATTGGATTTAAATGACTAAAAACTACAAAGAAAAGTGTGACACCATTATTTGAAATAATTTCAAATCTTGTCTTTTAGCTTAATATAAAAATTGACTCCGCCATCGTCAAGTGAATGCACACAGAATACCTATAAAGCAATTTTCCACCTGTTCAAAGAGATAATCTAGTGACTGTAGCTTGATGAGTAGAGCCACAGTACACACCATTTGTTTGTTTTTCCAGAGCTTCTCATGTCAAAACACAGACCATATTTGAAACATTCTCTGTTACATTTGAATGCAGACGCATCTAGTATCACTAACACAAAGGAACTCTGGTATCTAGGAAGATATTTGCATTTACATATACATGGAGCAGATGCACCTATACAGAACAACTTGCACTTATACAGAGGTGCTTTACTATCTGCTTGGGAACCTTTTCCTCATATGCCAGAGTCTAAGATACATTTGATACACAATACACATTATAAAAGGAACGCTTATGCATTTCTATGCTTCATAGCTGAGAACATGGTTTCAGTAAGTGTCCTGTAGTGCTTCCAGGTTAAGACTGCTGTTTTGAAAAAGTATATTTTCAATTTATTCACTTAACATATGTTTAATAGAAATTTCTTCTTAGTTCCTGGTACTGTATACTTTATACATTAAGAGAACCGATTATAGATTAGTATAGATCAGAGTCCGTATTTATAGTGTCTCACAGCAAGAACACTGATCTAAGGTCAGGTCTCATTAATGCACACACACTGTTAGAAATAAAGGTTTTTTGCAGGTACATTTTTCGTTCATCAAGGTACAAACAATGTAAATGTTCCCTTAAAGGTACAACAGTGGTTTTAAGGTCCAATTGTGCTCCTTAAATAAGTTTTTTCAGGTGAAAATTACATATTTATACCTTTTCATAACTTAATATTTTAAAACAGAGCAATAAAATAAAAAGCCTGGAGACGAGACGGAGTGTGTGGAGTCAATACGACCAATTTAAAAAAAAAGGTTCAAATAGATTATGGTACGATTATGTTCCCTGACTAGAGGTATTGAGATGTACCCTTGATGGTACCACCTCAGTGACAAGAGGGGAACTGCCCCAGTGACAGTTTTGTACCTTTTTTCTGAGAGTGCAGTTGTATGTAAAAGGCATAGACTGCTCTAAATGTGTAAAACTGCACATATCATAGCTTTTTATTCTTTTTTTCTTATAATTTTTGTTTTTAAGTTCTAAAAGGGGGTTACACACCTAAGATTTTCACTCACCTTCTCACCTGTGTAAATGTGATATGACAATAAATGTGATTTGATCTGATTTGCTCCCAAGTTTGCATACTGCCTCCAAGAAATTTGAGAAACATGAATTTCAGAAATGGTCTCCTTTTACTTTTCAGCATTTGGAGTTCCGGAAACACATGAAGGCTGACACTATCATTACTGACTGGAAGCCTCCTGAGGTATGATGCACACAAATATTCCTATGCAAAAATTGAATGCCTAAAATGAATAAAACGTAAATTGACCAGGGGTGCCCAAACTTTTGCATGCAACTGGAATGGCTCTGTAGAACATGACAGAAGTTAGAACATAATAGAAATTACTATGAGAAGTAAATATGCACTAAATTAATTATTCAATTAAATACAGTGGTGTCTTGATTCGATACATAAAAATCTAACACTGTGGCCACAAGCTGATATGTTAGCCCCAAGCCAACACACTAGCCGTAAGCCAACATGCTGGTCATAATACAATGATACAGTACAATACTCTGCAATGCTAACAGTAAGAACTGAGATTTACATTAAGTTTGCTGCATTAATTCTAACTCTTGAAAGAGAAAAAGTGTTTTATCTTTTTTGTTGCTGCCTGTTGCTATTGTGCTGCTTGCCCAGGTTTTAGAGAAGTACTTTTCTGGAGGCATGTGTGGCTATGACCGAGAGGGCAGCCCTGTGTGGTATGATGTCATCGGACCGGTGGATCCCAAAGGTCTGCTGCTGTCTGCCTCTAAGCAGGACTTCATCAAGTGTAAAGTTCGAGACTGCGAGATGCTGCAGAAAGAGTGTGACTTACAGAGCGTCCGGGTATGTTCAGTAACCTACCTCATCCATGCTCACCTGTCCTACCTGTGGAGGAGTGGGTGGGTCAAGAGGTGGCCAACAGCAGGCACATGCACAGATAGACCTCAGGGGGCTTGAGCCCCCGCCCCTTTGCTCTCAGACTGTACAAGTGCCTTCTTGAATGCCATGAATTATAACTGTTTTGGCAGTTCTTCAAGATCCATTTCAGGATTAAGGAGATTTCCATTCAGTACCTCTGAAATGTCACAGATTCACGCATTACCACAGTTCCACCAAAGCACTGATATTATCTGTAAGAAAGCATCACACTGCATTATTACTACTTCTTTTGAACAGCATCCAAACAAATGGTAGTAAGGGATGTGGATAACTTGCTAAATCAAGTTTTTGTAATTTTTATAAAAACAGGGATATATGCCAGGCTCTGTGTAGCTCTTACATAGAGGTCAGTAACTCTCAGGTTAGATTAGATAGTATTATTTAGACCAGTGGTTCTTAAACAGGCCCTCAAGGCCCCAAAGACAGACCTTATTTTTGCTCTGTCCCTATGTGTTGTGACATGCAAAAAATGGACCATCTGGGGACCTTTTCGATAGTGGTACAGGTTTATATGCTGGGCGGTAAAACTAGTATGTTTTTAAGACCTTGTTTGTTTTCCTCTGAAACATGATTACATTGCCCACCTTGATGAGACTGGTGCAGAATGCTATAAATTAATTTTAATTCATTGTTCATATTGCCCTTTTTACCCTGAGTCTCCCAAAATGTGTATTTAAATATAAAAATAGAGAACAGAAGATTGCATGGTCTGATTCGTTGGGTGGAGGCATCAGCACATATTACTGCTCTCAGAAAAACAATAATTATCTCCTGCAATATTGCGTGCTCCATAGAAACTTCTGTTGTCTGTCACTGAAGCTAAGTTAAGTGTTTATGTCTGCATCCTCCTTCAGCAGATGCCTCCTGTTCCTTTGCTGTTTTTTATATCAAGTGCTGTGGGCTATGGGTACCTCTTGTAATACCTCTTGTAATCTCATTTTTCCTCTGCTCTTCTGTCTCTTGCAATCAGTTGGGAAAAAATGTGGAGTCCATAACAATGATCTATGACTGTGAGGATTTGGGCCTGAAGCATTTATGGAAGCCTGCTATAGAACTGTATGGAGAGGTAAGATCATGTCCCTGGGTGTTCTTCTCTATGTGTACACTGTCCTCTACTGCTTTACCCTCTGCTTTGTCTCAAAAGAGCCTCTGCTGACCACTGAAACGTGTAAATATTTACATGTCATGACCCTTTGTTAAACATGGCTTAAAACAGAACTCTTGAGTAATTAGCAGGGTTCTATCTTGTAGGTCCTGACCATGTTTGAGGACAACTATCCTGAAGGACTAAAGAGGTTATTTGTAATAAAAGGTAAATTGTAAAATCCAGCTAAATATTGCCACAACATGCATAGTTTATGTGTAAATGACAGTTAAAGTACAGTTATACAGACACAGTTTGCTTAGCATTGTTTAAGTGATTTTATTGTTCTGACAGCTTTTATTGACTTGATGACTTAAAAATATCTCATATTTTGTTGCAGCACCCAAACTGTTTCCTGTGGCCTACAATCTGGTGAAGCATTTTCTGAGCGAAGAGACTAGACGCAAGGTCATGGTTCTGGGATGTAAGATAAACACACAGATCAGCCTGTCTCTAGTATCTGTCCCTCAGATAGCCGACATGACTCTGACTAAGAGTGAATTGACTTAACCTTTTATTAAAATATAATAAATATCTAATAAACAACATAGTTTGGGTTGATATGGGTTTTAATAGATTACTGATGATCTACTGCCGTATTTGGCATGAATATCTAGATAATGACTGGTGCTTAAATGACAATGCACTCGAATTCAGTGTTCAATACTGAGGTTCACACAGTTTAAGACAGAATGTAATGTAAATTTAACCTGTTTTTGTGCCCACTCAGCGAATTGGCAGGAAGTGTTACGGAAACATATCGACCCTGAGGAGCTCCCAGCCATATATGGGGGAAAACTGACCGACCCCAACGGAGACCCCCGCTGCAGAACCAGGGTGAGTGAAGAAGATCTTAAACGTCACACAGGGTCACCGCACTGCCTAGTAGCGCTTTTTCAAAGTTTTTACGGCATGGTACGTTTACTAATCTGAATGTAGAACTATGTGTACCCTGGTGGAGTACCTGTGTTCATTTCCTGTCAGATAACGGTTTCTGTGAGTTCTGCAGATTCTGTGACAAAAGTCCTCAGAACAAACCAGCCAGAATGTTGGTGACAGTAAATTTGACAGAATTAATATGCTGAGAGGTGCAGAAGTATAATTTTGGAGCTTGTAATTCTGACATATGCTGTTTTATTTCATTCCTGTAAGCTGGAAATGTTTTGCATTACACTCATAGCTCAATGACACACTCACAGCTCAGACTCAGTCAAAACTAGTAACACTCTATGCCAAAATCAGCATATGTTGCAGTTTGGATGCTGGTATTCTGGTCAGCAGCAATGGAAGCGAAAATGCTGGTCAACAACCTAACCATGCTAGGTGACTAGCTAAACCAGCACCAGACCAGCATAAACCAGTTCAAAAGACTTGGTACCAAGTCTACTGCCTTACCCTCTGCTTAGCCTGAGAAGAGCCTCTGCTGACCCCTGAAATGGCCCTTTGTTGAACATGGCTTAAAAAAGAACTATATATACCAAATGTTTACCAAAACGGTAAATTTAGCACAGGTACAGTATGGGTCACAAAGCAATGGAAATGACAAGAAAATATGATTTCTAACCGTACTGTGCCGTACTGCTCTGTTTATTGGAAAGTCGCTATAAGAAGTTGGCTTGTTAGTAGCTATGAATGTAGTTCTAGTGTCACAGTTTGATGCTAAATGCATTATTCCATGCTAATAGGCATATGGTCCCTTGTTACCTGGTTTAAAATGATGAAGAAGTTAGTAATATCTTGTTGAAGGCTTGTGTTGAAAATCAGCAGATGTTGCAACAGCTACTTACTTTGAATGCCCTCTTCTTCAGTTAGCACTGTACGTTCTTTGACTCTTTATGTAGCAAACACAGTCAAACTGAGCTTGAACAGTGTTTTTTTGTGTTTATAGCAGGTTGGTTCAGTATATATTGACTCATCATGTTGTCTTTTATGGCGGTATCTGTAACTGCTGATCTGAACTACAGCTGGTACTGATTTAAATCGAATACTAGATTGTTAAATATCAGGCCTTGTTCAGAGTTGGTTAGAGCAGTGTTTTCTGTCTTCTAACGGGGTTTCAGTGAAACTGAGATACATCATCTTTGCCTTTGGTAATATAATACGTCCCGCTTACACAGATCAAGCTGAATTTACAACATCAAGTCTCTGTTTAAGATCAGGCAATGGCAGCTTTACCATAAGCCTTTTAGGCCTAGAATCTTGATGCTGTAGTGCTGTAGAAAATAGCCTATGCACTTCAGAAGAGCTGTTCTCCAGTATGAGCTTTCACTGCATTAGCAGTAGCATCAGCAAGCATCTCCTCAATTTTTTTTTTTTTAAATGGCTTTTGCCATATTGCATGAAAGAAAAATATTTAGATAAATGGTGTAATGATATTGAAAGCATTGTGGTGTTGTCTGGAACAGAGCCCAGTTTGTTGCTCCACAGTGCACTTCAGATTGCTTTGATGCACTATAGTGACTAAGCAGTTTTATCAGTTATGAATGCTGGCAGCTAAAATTGTGGCATGCAGTTTCTCAGTCTCTCTTACAGGTGAAAAGTTCTGTCACTCACCCCTTTAGAAAGCAATTCAGTGTACTATTTACTAGAAATGTTGTACTACTAGTAAAAGCAACTTTTTTGTCATGCTAATTTTGATTTTGAAATTATATAGTTCAGGGTACTCACAGACTGCAACTGCCTCTGAAGCCCATCTACCTTTTAATTCTGATTGGTCAGTTTGTGACATAGGATACTTGACCGCTTCAAATGTAATTTTTTTCAACTCAGGGCGGAACGTTACTCAGAAAAAAACAGCCGTGCAGAGCACAGGTGCCAAGTGCATGAAAACAGTGTATAAAACACATCTCTCCCACTGAAAACAATAGAAAAAGGCACCTTGGTCCACAAAAATCATGTCTAGTGAGAACCCTCATACATACATCTGGCCTATAAAGCGTACTTAAACTGGCTATATTCACATGAGCCGTCTCATATAAAAATAGTCACAATTAGGGATTTAATTCAAAGATTGGGTTTAGTAATCACTCACACTGCGCACGTATAATCCCTACAAATTCTACTTTTGAGGTCAGTTAGTTTCCAAACTATGCAGCTTCTAAAGCTTTCCACTGCAACTAAATAATACAGCTTATTAGCCACTGCACCATAGGATGCTATAGAAGTAGCAATATGCCTATTATGGCCTAGTAGTGATCGGATATGATCTGACCTTTTGTCTGTCCATATATGCTTAGATAAAGATGCTGCCCTCTTCAGGACAGGAGGAGAGGCCTTTATGAAGCCCAACTGGACCAACTGGACTTTTTTGGGCGTGGGGAGTATGAGGGGGGATTGCCTAGATTTGTTGGACTGAGATTTTACCAGATGAGAATTGAATCTATTGTTCTCTCCAGGGTCTTGGGGTATATAGATAGGCTGTAAATAATACCATATTTCATAGCTGTTATTTGTGCAAGATGTTTCTTTGCTGGTGAACCAGTAATCCATCCTCAACTGGGCCTCCACATTTCCTTCAACCATGTGAAAATGAAAGTTGGATAAGAGAAAGCCTGTTTATCTGTGTTAATGAGGACAGCTGGGGCTTTTAGATAGCAAGGTCAAACTTTAAGGGCCCATATAATGGGAAACTTAATTTTCCTCACGTTCTTACATGAAATAGTTTGATGTAGTATGTAAACACAGATAAGGTTTAAAAGTTACCCTTCACTCCACAGTCCATACAGTGCGTACATGGAAACTAAGCTGCAAAAGCAGCTTGTTTTAAATGTGTTGTTTTTGTGATGTCACAAAAACAACTCATTTATATATATATATATGCTTATTCATCTTGAAGTTATAATGTGTTTTCAACTCAGACTACTTTTTGAAGGCAGCACAATACAGTGCAGCCAGTCAGAACAGAGGTCATTTACATATCTCAGTCTTAAAGGCACAGTAACCAATATAGTGTGTGTAATTCTAAGGGATCAAGAGAGAATGCAAAATGGTAAAAATAAATTGCTAATGTTTTTGAAATATTAAACAACACAAACATCATAAGTGAAACTCATGGAAAAAAATAAAATACAGTTAAAATTTAGGATATGGGCCCTTTAAAATTGAGCATTGACCTAAGAAAGGGATATGTTTTGTTTGCCTTTGTTTAAGTTGAAGGGAAATGAATGGAATGGAAATCTCTCTCTTTTGGAAATCTCTCTCTTCAATCTGATGGGCAGTCTGTGTCTGTGATGTCCAGTGCACGTCAGCCATTAACAGCTCCTTAAGGCATCTGTAGACAGTGTGTGAATTCATTGGTGATTCAGTTCTTCTCAGCAACTCTCTAAATACCCTCATCTCTGTTCTGGTCTTTGACTCCGTACAGCTTCATCTGCTGCAATAAATGGAGGATTCACCAGCTTGTGTTTCTACTTGTTGCATTTGTATTAGCAGTCTGACCAGTTACACTATTTATCTTCACATTAAACTGTGTAACAAATAGTTTATTTTAAATAGTTTATCATTATTTATAGGGATGCACTCATGTGAGATATCCAAGATTTTCCATGAACGTATCTGTCGATGCTGATGTATGCATTTATAAATTGTATAGACTGGGATGAATTAGTAAATAAATGTGACTTTTATTTGTAGACGGTAAATATATTACATCAGCACCGTTACTGTTGGTCATTTTTGAGCTGTGTTGATGTAATATATTTTATTAATGTGAAACTGATGTACACATTTGAATCTAGTAAATTCAGAGCAACACTTTTTTCATTGTACATGTACTTAATTACTTCAGTACATTTTTCAATTATATGTACTATTATAAATTTATAATTAATTAAATGTAATTATACATTTAATTTTTTGTACTTTTGTGAAGTACTTTTGTACTTTAACTTATATAAAAATATAAATAGAGCTCTTATACTTTACCAAAATGTAATTCCACCCGTGTAAAATAATATAATAATAATAATAATAATAATAATACTGTTGTATTGTTATTTTGACAATCTTAATATTGCTCTATTAATATACTCTGAAAATGTTTATATGGCCCTTCTAGTAGCTATGGTCTTATTGATCAAAGGAATAGATTGACATGCTAACATGGCTAACAAGGTAGTAGATGTCAATTATCACAGTTATATTGCTAATTGGTGGCTATTTATTTTCAATCGTGAGCAAAATTCACTTTTTTGACTGAAACATTCTTTTTTAATGGTGGGGGAGCATCTGACAGTGCTTTCCATTTTCCTGAAAACCTTCAACTTCCAACTCTAGTGGCATGTACAGAAGTATCTTAGCTTAATATTAAAGGACAGCGAGAGAAAGAGAGTGAAATACTCTTTCAAAGCACTTCTGAATGAAATATTTCCACACTGTGCATAGTTGCCATGGTGCTGAGGGACTGCAGCAGAGAGTAAAGGAGGAAAAGAGGAGGGGTGTGTGAATAGGGGGCCCACTGGAGGTCTAAAAGTGACCCTGTTTAGCTATCCAGGCCTGTTTTTTTTAGCCAAGAAGATCAGAATATCTCCTTTTCCAGGCTGAAGGCTTTAACAGTCAACATAGTGGGCCAGATGGGCAGTTAGTTGTCGCTGTGTTGTCATTTATCATTGCTTTACTGACCTTTATAAGCCTACACTCTTGGTGCCACACAGTGTTCTTTGAGCAATAGAAGTACCAATTTGGTTGCCTAAAGAACCATAGATGAAAGAGGCTTATGATTGTGAAGAACCTTTTAAAGGCTTAGAGAACTGTAACATCAATGTTCTATGTTCATTTAAGTTTATTTTTCCTAGAACATTTACATAATGTGGAGGTTTTTTGAACTTTGCTTTCTTAGTAATGTATACTGTGAACATAAGTGTAGATTTTAACTAAAACATGTTACATCTGCAAAATATCATACTAACCACAACAGTCTTACCACAAATCTTCCTGTTTTCTGAGTAAGTTTCATTTTTTTCTTTCTATCTTTCATTTCCTCATAAGAACAGTTTACTCTAACATCTGAGCTGAATCACCCTCACGTTCAAGTTCTAACCTCTCGTCTCCGCACAGATTCAGCAAGGAGGGCAGGTGCCCCAGTCTTACTATGCGCGGGAGTTTATCAAGGTGCAGTATGACCAGAGCGTGTCCATCAGCCGCGGCTCCTCCCACCAGCTGGAGTATGAGATCCTGGCACCGGGCTGCGTGCTCAGGTGAGGACATGTAAAGCTATAGTGTTTAAAAAAGATGGCACCCTTCTCGGTAAACTCATCTTATAGAAGAAGCTCATACAAAACTAGACCTTGTACAAACTGTTGATGTTAAAATTAGTTTATTTACAGGTATCAAGGTATGTAGTTTAGTGTGATGCGCTAATTCGACACTTAAGGCTATGTTTACATATGTGCATGGCATTCAACATGTGCAAACACAGTGGGACAGTGTTGACTTAAAGTCTATGTATAATAATAGCCTAGCAAACCAACAGCAGCCTAATTTACCACAAATTTTGAATCAGATGTCACACTTCTATTCATTATTTGTGTATTTTAGTTTATATTGTTTTGCTTTAAAACATCTTTTAAACTGTGTGTAGGCAGTATGAATGTGACATGTTCTTGTATAGGGCTGAATGATTTGGGGAAAATGTCAAATTACAATTTTTTTGACCTATATTGTGATTGGGATTTAAATTGTGTTTTCTATAAACCAGCTCCAGGCCAAGAAGTTCAGAGTATCTGTTTGTTCAGGCTTAAGACATAAAGAATTAACATAGTGTTTCAGATTCCCAGTTAGTTGTGGTTGTGATGTTATGTACCAACACATGAGTGTTTAGTTGCTCCTGATTGGTCTAATTTATGTACAGGCAGTTCACAAGCTCCGTATTATTTCCTCACTTAAAGCGTGTTATCAATGCTGTTGATAATGTAAGCCATAATTAAAATGGCAGCTCTTTCAAGTAGTGATTTCTTTATAAAAACGGTGAATCTTTCAACCTTGTTCCTGTGCTTGCAAAGTGGATTAATCTACATTGCATTATTTCACTCTAGAGAAAAGCAGACACTTTTAGACTAACCAGAGAACTGCTGGATGGTAACAACTGTACTGTTACATCATTTTGAATTTATTCTTAAAATGCTGGAAAGAACGTGCAACTTACAAGTCGCAACAGTTACTTGCTGTATTGAAGGAGTTTCAAAATCTTACAGGAGTAAGGACATAATTCTTTGCACGAACTGCTGCCTGTTCAAAGATGCTGTTAATTTCACATAGTTAGCAGATGCTAATAGTTAAAAGGAGAAAAGAAAGATGCACTGGACAACATAGCTTGTTCAGTAGGATAGCTAGACATGTTCGGTGTCTGAACTTTGCTTCTTTGGTTTTGCACTGGAGCTATGAGGCTAATGTAGCTAAAGTAACAGAAGCTTATGTACAGCCTTAATATCAAACAGTGTCAGAAGTCACATAAGCAAGTCTCAAGGTAAATATGTAAGCATTTAAGCATTTAACACTTAGCACAGTGCTAATTGTTGAGGTATAAGCTTGCATTATTTTTTAGCTACATGACATTACATACTAGTTACATTACTTGGCTCCAGTGCAAAACTACAGATGCAAACTTCAGACACCAAACATGTCTTGACTAATTGAATACATCTGTGTTAAGGAAAAAAAAAAACGTGTAGATTAGATTTTATACAGAAATATCACTTTAAATGACTGGTAACCTTTTTACTTTTTCTGTTTAACACCCCAACTCTTTCTCTTTCTCTTACTCTCTTTCTCCACATTTTCCCCTTGTGACAGGTGGCAGTTCTGCTCTGAGGGAGCAGATATTGGCTTTGGAGTCTTCTTGAAGAAGAAGCTGGGGGAGTGGATGAAGGCAGGTCAGATGCAGGAGGTCGTGCCCAGCCAGCGCTACAATGCACACCTGGTACCTGAGGATGGATCCCTCACCTGCACAGAACCAGGAGTGTGTGAGTACAGAAAAAAGAGAAAGGGAATCATGTCTGAGATAATGAAAATTGGTTGATAATGGAATTACTAATACAGGCATGTCAAACTGGGGATCTTCTGGGCCAAAGTGCTGCAGAGTTTAGCTTTTACCCTTATCTAACACTCTGAATTCACTTCATGAAGGCCTTGCTAATTAGCTGATGAGCTGAACCAGGTGTGTTTAATGAGGCACTGTGCTAAAGTCTGCAGTGTTTTGGCCCGTGAGGACCGGAGCCTGACACGTGTACTAAAAGAATTGTTTCATTTTTCCCCAGATGTCCTGCGATTTGACAACACATATAGCATCTTTCAGTCCAAAAAAGTCAGCTTCACTGTGGAGGTCCTCTTGCCCAGTAATGACAGCCAATCAGAGCCTGGGATGAGCAAAGCGTCAGAACAGAAAGCCCCCAGCAGCCAATAAGATGCGGCTGTGGAACTGTTGGTTTAGAGAATGAGACTATTACTGCAAAGCAAACCAGCACTTGATGTAGCGTGTCTTGCACATGACATTACATGAAAAGGGTTTTGGAGCTGTAATTACTACAAAGTGGATAAAGTAACGAAAACGTTGCTTTTGGGCAGAGAATACGCCTGTGTTGACGTCATTTCTTCTAAATCCTGTCTAAATGAAAATTTGCACAAGCTTAAAAAGTAATGACAGCATAATTGTCCTACTAATACATTCCAGAGTCCAGATCATCAACTTTTTTTGTGCATGTGAACATGAAATATATTTAGAACTACTCCTGACCATGATTATACAGAAATAGAAAAGTATAATCGCAAGTAAACCCATTATGAAATGCACAAACTCCCAGTAAGTATCTGCTGTTTCTGTTCCTGATTGGTGACTATTGTACCAAAACCATGAAGGGTAAGATAAAAAATGAAAGTGTATTCCTGTGTCTAACTTCCACTCATCCCTTGTGATTTTTTCCCACTACTGTGGTGCACCAGATGGTTAACGTATGGGGAAATGAAATAATTCATCATTATATTCTTCTGTTGTTCCATTAATACAATGGGCCAGAGCTCCTAGCTGAAGTTTTAGAGTTGTATTCAACATGGACATAGTGCCATTTACTAAAAACCACTACATTCCACCAAGTCTTTAATATACACTATGTACTCCATAGGAACAATCTAAAGAAGTGTCAGGTTTTATCCCCATACATAATACTACCTGGAAAAGAACGTTTAGAAATAGAGGTGCGGGTGGAGATTAGGATTCCCGAAGCTCATTCCAGTTTCCTTAATCAGAAAGAAAAATCAAGGTTTAAATACCAGAAGAGGAGATCACAGGTTGACTCAGCATGACAGTATAACTGTTGACAACAGGAGTACTTGTTTACCCACGTACTGGGACACAAAGTGGTCCAAGGAGATTCTTTATTTTATTTTATTTTGTTTTATTTTTTAGTTAGTCATTTTTTATATTTGCCCTTTCCTCTTGCCCAGTTTTTCCACGTTAAATGAACAGGAACAAAGTAACATTTGCATTTTTTTAACCCATCCCTACAGATGGGTGCATCATGGTGAGCGTCAGGCCATCCAAAGCTGCCAAAATTACTAGAGGACTGCAGTGTGAATGAACTCTAGCAAAATATTGCCTTTTATTTATTTTATGGTTCGAAACGCACAGTTAATAATTTTCTATGTACTTACTGTTTTAATCAGACCTTTTTAAAGTTTAATTTATAACTACTTAAGGCTGTTTTTTCCTTCAGGATAGTTAACAAAGAATGTATTTTAATGTGCTGAGTATTGCCGTTCTGATGGCTGATGTGAATATTTGCCGATGTCATGTTTTGTTTGTCCTCAGGTGTCATTACATACGGTTGGACTGACAATGCAAACACTTACTTTCTAATTGCAGTTGTTATTAATAATATTTCAGTAAATGCTCGAGTAGATCAGTGCCTATCATCTGCAGACCTGCAGTCTGTTCAATGTGTATCTTTCATTGTGTTCTGGTAGTTCATAAATTGCCTTAAATTATTTTGGATTTATTAACAAATTAAATGCTGATATTTAAATCACAGCAGTGTGAGTCTGCATGTGTTTGTGTTTAATGTGCCTAATTTAATCACTTAGCTGATACTGCCATCTAGTGATTGTGTACCATATTAAGGACTTACATGTGGGCTCCCAACCACTGCATGGTGCCAATATTTTGATAAAGGTGAGCAGTTTGCTCAACATTCTTTCAGATCATACATAAGAACATGCAGTGTTAGATTCATGCTCTAAAGGAAACAAATGTAAATCTGGAATTTTTCAGCAAATTTTAGTGCATAAATTCTAAAATCACAAGTATTTGTGCAATAAAATGTGCAAAACTGTGTTGTCTGTAGAGAATGTGTTAACTTATTTCCACATAGAAAATCATCAAACCATGTAATGGGGAGCATTAGACTTCATATTCATGCAGTGAGTTCAAGTGAAAGTTTGTTTTCTGTCCTGACAGAAGGAACCGGATGAGCCAAGATTTTTACCCCATTAAACTGCAAAGGCTCATATGTCCACATTTCAGTTCCTCACTCTTATTGCTACCTGACTTTCATAATAATGTAAGTATTTATAAAACACAGAAAAATATAGTAAAAGTTTTTAGCCATTTAGCTCATTTACCCCCATTCATCGAGGACTCGCTCGCGGGCGCCCTCTGGCGGTGCATGTCAGGCTGAGAGTGCCTGTCAGGCCAGACCAGAGCCGGTTTATTTGCTCTACAGGTTCTCTGGCCAGACTCTCCTAAAACCGGCTCTGGCGTGCGCGATTTGAACCGGAAACCCGATTCGGGCTACGCGTATGAGAAAGTGTACGTCAACCTGCCCGATTTGGACTACGCATGCGCAGGAACGTAGTGAAACGAAATGGGCAGAGCCGTTTTATGAGTTTATTGTTTCTTTATTTAGCCGTTTTATCCTCTACAAGTTTTCTGATATCGGAATAACGTACATTTGCTACGCATGCGTAGTCCAAACCCGGTTTCCGGTTCAAATCCGTTCATTCGGGCTTGTTAGCTGAAGCGGATGAAGGCGAGATGAGCGGCAGAGTCGGAGACCTCAGCCCCAAACAGGCCGAGGCTTTAGCGCAGGTGAGTTATTTCAGCTGCTGCTTCTTGCTGTGCAGCTTTCATGCTGTCTTTCAAGCCTTAACGGTTTCGGACAAGCACGCGCTGCTCTTCCTCTCACCGGGTGGCCAAAGGGAGAGACGTGTGGAGTTGCATGTGAGATGCATTAACTGAGTCTTAATGCACTGTTTTGAAGTTGGTCCTGAAGCAGGACTGTTTCTGTTTCATGTTCTGCCTGGAGCTGCTGCCAAATCCAGATGTTTTGGATATTTGTTATGAAGTTGTTCTCTTCACTGGTGTCTTGTTTGTTATCTTGATATTAATGCACTGTTCAATTCCCTTCTTGTTTGACTTTGTGGGTTGATATAAGTCTTTGCCAGTCATCTCACCAAATGCCCTCTATCTTTTTCTAAAACCTTTTCCGCTGGACAGTTTCGTGAGAGGATACTAGATGTTCTGCCACAGTGTCCTTTTCAGAGTGACCACTTCTTACTGCGCTGGCTTAGAGGTGAGAACAAGATAGATTTATAGGACTGTGAGTCTGTAGCAGATTTCATATATTTCAGTGGTTATTAAAACTACCAGTACATCTCCAGATGGATCTTTTGAAATGTTTTGACTAAATTGCTTGTCACTTATAAACACCTAAACACTATTTACAGGACCATAAATGAGTCAGAGTTAACCCAAGAGGCAAATTTGTATATGTTGTCATTTGCCAGATGTTAAAATGCACTGTGTTCAGTAAAACAAAACAACAGTGCTGGCTTCCCAAAGCAACGTTAATCTTAAACCTTTACAAAGACTTTACAGTGTAGTCCAAAACTAGTGTTTTTAATTTATGGGTCCAAGATTAGATTAGATTAGATTAGGTTAAACTTTATTGTCATTGTGCAGAGTACAGGTACAGAGCCCATGAAAAGCCCAGTTGGCATCTAATCAGAAGTGCAAAATACAGTATTATTCACATATAAAGTGCAGAAAAAGTAACTGACAATTGACAGTTACAATATGTACAATTAAGGATGGTAGACTGGTTAAAAAAATAGATATATAAATGTAAATATGTCAATCAGTTGGGAAAAATGTTTTAAATCAACACATTTCTTGCCGATTTAAGTAAACAGTATGGCAGTAGTGTTGATGCCACATACTAAATCACACATTTGAGTCAGTGTAGACTTAAAAAGGCCGTTTTTAGAAAAGCAGAGTCATGGATACAGTTGTGTGGCATGTTTTATAAGCATGCTGTAACAATGATATTGCTATAAGAGTGTAGCTGAGATGCTGTGTTAGCTTAGTTACCATGCTAACCTCTGTAAGGCAATGAAAGGTCTATGAAATATACCCTCTCACACAAACTCTATTTGTCCCACAGTTGCACATAAACTCATGCAGTGGGCTCCCATGGAAGGATCTATTGTTCTGTCCTGATATAAAACTGTAAAACATAAACATATTTGTGGAATTAAATAGGCCTGCAGTTTCCCAGTGTGGCTGTCAGAACAGTATTGGGAATATGTGTTTGCTAAATGTCCATTTCAGGCATTTTATAAAGTCAGTTACACATTTCAGCACAATGTAAACTTTCAGTACTTAAGGCTCAAGGGACTTTTATCCAAAGGTACCAGGGTTGTTTTCCTAAAAACTTCAGCCCTGTGACAGTGGATGTCTGTGTTCAGAGCCAGCAGCTCTGAAAGGCTCTGATTATGTCTGGTCAGCATTAATGGAGAGCATGTTGGATGATTAGATCTGGATGACAAACGCCACTCCAGCTCCATCACTCAAGAGAACGCAGTTTGACTGCTCCACCGCCCAATGCTGAGAAGCTGTATATCTATCCAGCTGGTTCTTTGAAAGGCATGGTGACCTTAGGCTCATGTGCGACTGCTCCAAAGCGCACCATTTTCTTGGTAGTGCCTTTCTGTGGAGTGTGCAATTGAATGACTGTGCGATGGCAGTGGGTGCAGCTTAAATTAGGTGAAAGTTTTACGGGAGATAAGATGAAACCGATACTGAATGAGGGCTCATGTCTGTACTGTCTTTCAGCACAAAGATCACTGTAAGGTGGCAGAGCGAGTTTTACTTTGAGTACTTCTAAAAGTTAAGGTTGTCTTTAGCCCCCTAATATCAGCCCCCTAAAAAGGTTGACAATATTGGCAGATATAATTTTATATTTATATTTTAGATTCAAATTTAATACCCCAATGGTTCTGTTTACTGGCAAATACTATTATTGTCACTTCAAAATTCTATGACTTAAATAAACAGCAGAAACTCAAGTCTTAAGCACTGGGGGTTGAGCAACCCATAATTCTTATAGTTTTGGTGTCTGTTAATTACCTCTTATTTTTCATATTAGTCAGTAGTTACCTTTAGGGATGCAGGAAAAAATCGATTCTCAGATGCATTGCGATGCGGACGTGAACGATTCTGAATCGATTTACAAACTTCAAAAATCAATTTTCTAAATAGTTCATTTATAACGTAATGTTGACGGAACGCAAAAGGCAGAACTTGGAAGTGTAGAAGTGCAGCGCCTGTACAGTCTGTGGCGGCACATAACAAAAACACACATGGATGAGCGAGAAATCCGACTGGCTCCCTCTGTATTAAAGCCAGGTTAGATCAGGAGTCACAACCCAAATGTTAAGAAGAGCCATTTTGTCCTTTCAACAAAAATCAGACCACCTTGGGAGCCACAACTTTTTTCTGTCCAGTATGTGATAATGTCCTGGTATAGGCTAAACAATATAACTTGAACAAGAGCGCAGATTTACTTTGCTCTGCTTTAAGCTTTAGCTACAGCCGCTTTCCTCCAATTACTGCCAGAAAACTTTTTTTCAGAAGTAGATCAGTTTCTCATAAAATGTCTTTCAACGTTCAACTGTTTTCCGAGTCTGAAGTTGCGTCTTGTTCGAATTTTCCTGTTCCACCTTAAATTCTGACTGTCGGCGCCGAATGTAAATACGGCACCATTTAAGGTGGAACGGGAAAATTCGAAAGAGAAGTGACATCTTCGCAACTTTTGTGTTTGACAGACTCTCGTTGCAGATTTAACTTATCAGGAAACCAACTGCGCTGCTTATAAATGCGAATAACGCATCGCTGCTATGTGACCTGCAGTCTGCACGGCGGTTCTCAGTCGTTGCGAAACAGGGCTTTCACGCTATGCTGCACACGTCCCGTTTCGAAGATATTTTACTGACACAGTGGACCTCCCCTCCCGTCTCTACAACGAACAAGACCAAAACCGAAGTTATAAAATCACTAAAGAAAACTAGTAGGACAGCTGTAACGTGCTGCGTGGACATCCATTACCACTGGATCTTATTTCACCGTAACTGTGCATTTTATCGCAGATGTGCTCCAAAACAAGAGCAGTGAATGAGAGCCTTCCAGTTCACTTGCCACATCACTTCCATTTGATTTATTAGTAAAAGATATTGGAAGTAAATTCATTATGGATCATTACAAATACTTAGCTTTAAGTCCTGACACAGTGAGAAAATAAAAATCCTGTATAGAAAAAAAGATGCATCAAGATGCATCGATATGCTAGTCAGCGCAGGCCTCTGTTAGCTGACGTAACAGATCTGGCGGTTGGCGCTTTCCTCCGAGCGCGTTCAGCTGTCCAATGATGTTGCGTGAGCGGCAGGTCGAAAAGAAGCGGTGGCTGGTTTCACAGGTCTCGAAGGAAGCCTGTGTTCGCCTTCGCCCTCCTAGCGTTGATAGTACCGTGTGATTGGGGGAGTCTTAACTAGCGGGTGGAATTGGCGACAACTAAATTGGGGAGATAATTGGGTTTAGATGCAACGATAATCGTTTTATAATCGCATTACAGCCCTCTGAATCGTAATCGAATCAAATCGTGAGGTGCCTAGAGATTCCCACCCCTAGTTACCCTCATAAAAAACGTTTTTTCCATATGTTATCATGTTACTCTCCTGATGAAGTTTAGGTTCAGGTACATCTTTTAGTAACAAAAGAATACTAAGAAGATTACTGCTTCTTAAACGTCCAACCAGGCTGTGGTGAAATACTCAACATACACTCAACATCAGTTTAATTCTATCTTAATGCATTGAGTTTCTCTGTAGCGCTAAGTCAGGTGGTTTATAGTCTCTATAGTTTCTTTGGCAGAGACCTACTTGAAAAATGCTGGATATCATCATAAGCCCACAGTTCTAGTATCAGTGTATCCCTACTTTTCAGGCACTCCTTTTTTTCACTGCATTGAAAAATGTATTGAATCAGGACATGACCAAATAGAATTAAACTGAATTCTGAATTTTAGGAATCATTCATTACACCCATACTGGCTAGGATTAAGGGTAAAAGAAAAATGTTGTGTTTGTTGTGCTCATGTTTTGAAGGCCGGAGCACATTCCCCTCATTAGAACATGAAATATTTATAAAATCTGCGTCACATTTTAATGTGTGTCAGCAGTTAATCTTAACAATAGGGAAATAAATCATGGGTGTCTATTTCAGGAAATCAAACATCCTGCCGAGTTTAGTTCCAGGACTCCACTTTTGTAAAGTAGCTACCTGTGGAACAGCTGTATATTAGAATAAGACTGTGATGAGTCTTTGCATGGCAACAGCTCTACAAGAGAGTTTGATTTAAATAACTAGTGATCCAATATCAGTGGTTACTGCAGAATTCTCAGTAGCACAAGACCACACTTTTCTTATCAATAGACTCGGTGAACCTTGCACTCCTTCTGTTCTGTTCAATTGGATGGTTAATATGTTACCAAATCATTCCTAAACAGCTTCACAGATGGTCTCCTCTGGTCCAGTGTTCATTGTGTTAAACTCCTTAAACTCTAAGGATCTTTACATGGGCCCACACTTCAGTTCCACTCTCTCGTAACTATTTAACTTACTGTAAGTTTGTTAGTTATAGTATTTACTAAATAATAAACCTGCAGTTTAACCAACTCTAGATCGAAACAAAGGATCAATTTATATATATATGGACCATTCTGCTGAATTAATTCAAACTGTCCCACAGTAAAAACAAACAAACTGAAAAAAGCAAAAAAAAAAGTTATTCAAACTTTAGATATTTATAAGTGTTATGTTATATTTATCTATGTATTTTATATCTATTTAAACCCAAGGCAATAATAGAGATATTAATAAGATAAATACAAAATCATAATTTATAGGGTACTTCTGTTGGGAGGTGTCTGTCCCAAAACACCTTGTCTTAGCCACACCCCTGCATTTTAGAGCAGGATGTGAGACTGCATCCCTGTCCCTCATAACCACATTCAGAGCAGTTAGATCCCTTTGTTTTGAAGTAAAGTGTGTCCCAAAGTCTTAAAATTTGTGTGTAACATTAAGAATTGTCACTACCAAAACACGTATTTCAACACATAATTCAAAGTTTAAGTAAACTTTTGTTGTGTTTTATTAAAAATAACATTGTTTTTTGTGCGTACAGCTGTTCGAAGCTGTGTTTACTAGTCATGTACTGGCTAGCGTTTTTGAGTTCTGCTCAAAATGAGTTAAAATTGTCACAAATTTGTCAAAATTGTGTTATGATTGTTTTGGTAATGACAAAGTGAAATGTCGAATATTATTGTCAATATTATTAAGGTATAGGATCACTCAACGCAAAAGAATTTCGTCTAAGGTCCAAGTCAGTTAAAAGTCCAATATGTCCAAAAAGTCCTCTGACTTTGAACCGTCAGTAGAACTATTTTCACTTTTTATCTTTGTTGTGTGAGTTTTAGTAGTCACACATTCCTCTTTCTCCTTCTCTGCTGTACTCACTCCTTTTCTTCTTCTGTTCCTTTTTTTCAGCCAGAAATTTCAATGTGCAGAAAGCTGAAGCAATGCTACGGAAGGTATTTCACTGTTTTTTTATACAAATACTATTATTATTTATTTGATTATAATTATATTGTTGCATTGCAAATAGAGTAGACTTGTATATAAATACTGTAAATAGACTAGCAGACAGTCGCCCCTGGTCAAATTATGTTTTGTTGATTTTCTGAGTAAAAATAAGTTAGCATGTCCTCCACAGAGAACACACTTGTGAACATTTTAATGTACAGTTATTATGTATTTATTGAGTTTGACATATCGTGCAAAAGTTATGGCATATTATATATTTTATGTTTTAGTTTTGGCCAATATGGTAACTAGAATAAATACATAGAAACTGTACACTAAAATGCCATATTTAAAGGGGAATTCCACCAATTTATAAACATTTCTGCATAATTTAATTAACGTCATTTACAGTGGTTTGATGTAAAATGCACCGTTCTAGAGAAACTTACCAAGTCAGAATTATTCACAGTGTTGGTGATAGGAACCAGATGTCTGTAGAGTTCAGTGGCTCTAAAAGTTACATTACAGAAAGGTTTTACTTAAAATTAGTAATGGGTTTGCTGATTGATTTATGTTAATTGTGAGTGAAGAATTTGCCATAAAATGTATTTTTTACTATCAGTTGAGGAGGGGTACCTGCAGGGTCTTGTGAGGCAAAATCATTCCCAAAGAAAACTTATTTTTGAAGATGTACCACTATTTTACCATCATCAACATTACATATAAAAACTTAAAACACACGTGTAAGTTGACTAGTCATTTTGAATAGTAAATATAATGGCTATAATTGAATTATATAGAAATTTTGAAAAATTAGTGGAATTCCCCTTTAAGTTTGTTTTTTTGTTGGTTCTACAGTGTGTTAACTTATTATTACCTAGAAAATCAACAAAACATAATCTGACCACAAGTATTTAAACATTGCGCAAGACTGTATGTTTTTACTAGTCCTGCATTTCTCTTCACGTATATTGTCCATTTTTTGTATTCTTGTGAAATGTCAGACACAAAAACATGCTTTATAAAAAAAACAAACATATTTTCAACTGTTACAAAACGTGTAATCTGAAAGTATTCTTTCTCAGCAACTGTTGTCGGGTTTGACAAGCCTTACAGAATGTTGGGAAAAATCCCATTTAATGATGAATTGTAGCACACAACAGTTTTGTTAAAATGCCTTACATTTAAAGTGCGTTATTAATTTCAAATTATTTTAATTTTTAACACATGTGAAGGTCACACTGTTGAATAGATGGAATATTGTATTTTGTAGTCTGGTCAAGCTGTGGTCTGTATGTTCTCTAAGCTTATCTGTGCACAGATTTGCATACAAGTTTTTCAAACCAATTGTCTAAAAAGTGAGTATTTAATTACTCAACTTATCATATTACCTACTCTTTTGGTTACATTAGAGTAATGATTTTAACAACACAATAGAAAATCCAAATTTGATTCTATATATAAGTATAAAAATTGAATGTGTTTTAAAAATTCAAATAGATACTATTAGGTTTTCATCCAAAGTGTAACTACACAGATTTAGTTGTTGGACATGAATGGGTTAATATAAAGTGGCCCATTAAGATTGTGTCTGAACCCGTATGAATTCCTTTGAGGGTGTGGTGGGAACTGAAATTCATGCAGCACACTAAGTATGATTAGTCAGAGTTTTAGCCAATAAAACTAAGCAGCACTCGGGACCCTGCTGCTGATTGGACCCTAATAGTTGTCATCATCTGTTACTTTAATATCAATGAAGGTGACTGAGTTCACTCATCCCTGCATTGGTCTTATGAATTTGAGAAAAGGGAGCTTTACAAGTAAAAGGCTAGATTTGAGAAATCTGACATCACAGGAGTAACTTTATTTCTTTGGTTGTAAATGCATGTGTTTTGAATGGAAACATTGGATTTAAATGATTAGAAACTACAAAAATAGCCTGAAACCATTAGTGGCAATAATTTAAAATCTTTTCTTGTTAGCTTAATCTAAAAAAGGACTCCGCAATTTTAAAGTGAATGCACACAGAATACCCATAAAGCCATTTTCCACCTGTTGAAAGAGATAATCTAGTGACTGTAGCTTGATGAGAAGAGCCACAGTACACACCATTTGTTTGTTTTTCCACTGCTCCTCGTGTCAAAACACAGACCATATTTGAAATATTCTTTGCTACATTTGAATGCAGACACATCTAGTATCACTAACACGAAAGAACTCTGGTATCTAGGAAGATTTTTACATTTACATGGAGCAGATGGACTTACTGAAGTGCTTTACTCTCTGCTTGGAAAACTTTTCCTCATATGCCAGAATCTAAGATGCATTTGATGCACAATATGCAGACATTTATGCATTTTTATGCTTTATAGCTAAGAACATAGTTTCTGTTAGTTTCCTGTAGTGTTTCCAGGTTAAGGTCGCTCTTTTGAAACAGTATATTCTCACTTTGTTTACATATTTTTTAATAGAAATTTCTACTTTGTTCCTGCTACTGTACACTTTGTACATTAAAACTGAGTATAGATTATAGATGAGGGTCCATATTTATAGTGTATAATAGCAAAAACACTGATCTAAGATCAGGTCTCATTGGTGCAGACAGTTATGTAAAAGGCTAAGACTGATCCCAGATCAGCATTCTTCAACATCAGCATCAGCAAACTGAGACGTTTGAGAAGTATGAATCTCAGAAATGGTCTGCTTTTACTTTTCAGCATTTGGAGTTCCGGAAACACATCAAGGCCGACACTATCACGACTGAATGGACGCCTCCTGAGGTATAATGCACACATATATTCCTATGCAAAAATTTGAACACCTAAATTTTCACCTGGAAAACCAAAGCATAAACTGACCTGGGGTGTCCAATGTTTGCAAAATTTTTGTTATGGCTTTGTAGAACATAACAGAAGTTACTTGAGAAATCAATAGATGTAACGAATTACAAAATCAGTCATTCAAATTCAGTGCAGTGGTGTATTGATTTGATATATAAAATTAAATGTTTCAACTTTGCTGTTGACTGGAGCATCATTTATACAGTATTTGAGTCAAACGTTGTGCTTCATAGTACAATACACTGCAAAGCTAACAGTAAAAACTGAGATTGCTGCTGAGTTGCACTAATCCTAACTCTTAAAATAGTTCAAATGTTTAACTTTATCCTTTTGTTGCTGCCTGTTGCTATTGTGCTGTTTGTCCAGGTTTTAGATAAGTACCTTGCTGGAGGCATATGTGGCCATGACCGAGAGGGCAGCCCTGTTTATTATGATGTCGTCGGGCCAGTGGATCCCAAACCTATCCTGCTGTCTGTCTCCAAGCAGGACTTCCTCAAGTATAAAGTTCGAGACTGCGAGATGCTGTGGAAAGAGTGTGACTTACAGAGCGTCCGGGTATGTTCTCTAACCTACCTTGTCCATACTCACCTGTCTTACCTGTGAAGTGGGTGGGTCAGGAAGTGGCCAACAGCAGGCACGTTTGAGCCCCTCTCCCTTTGCTCTCAGACTGTACAAGTGCCTTCTTGATTGCCATGTATTATAACTGTGTTTTGGCAGTTCTTAAAGATCCATTTTAGTAAGAAGATTTCCATTCAGTACCTCTGAAATGTCACAGATTCGTAATAATAATTCAGTAATAATTTTATTAATATAGCACTTTTCATGCCGATGGCAGCTCAAAGTGCTTTACAGACAGGTGATAAAACACAGTTAAAAAAGAGATTATTAGTACTTAATTAGAATCAGAAGAAAATGAAGATTAAATTACAAGATAAACACCACGAGACATTCAGTTTTAGTTAAATGCTAATTTAAATAGATACGTTTTTAGGTGCTTCTTAAAAGTGAGCACTGAGCTTGACTGTCTAATAAAAGGTGGAATTGAGTTCCACAGTTTAGAAGCATAATAACTGAATGAGTCCCTCCATGTTTTCTGTATTTTACAGAGGGTATCTGTAGAAGGCCACTATCTGCATATCTTAGATTACGTGCCGGAACATAAACAGACACACACTCTGTGATGTAAGCAGGTGCTAGGTTGTTTTGAGCTTTAAAGACTAGTAGCAGAACCTTGAAATCTATCCTGAATGATACAGGCAGCCAGTGCAGCTCTTTCAAAACAGGAGTGATGTGATCTCTCTTTTTTGTTTTTGTTAGGATGCGCGCTGCTGCATTTTGTACAAGTTGTAAGGGATGTGTAGTTTTCTTAGGAAGTCCAGCAAGAAGAGCATTACAGTAGTCGAGACTGCTAGTAACAAATGCATGAACAAGTTTCTCTGTGTCGCTCTGAGATAGAAAAGGCCGAACTTTAGCGATATTTCTTAAATGATAAAAAGCTACTTTAGTGACCATGTTTACATGTGGAGCAAAACAGAGCTCAGAGTCTAAGATCACACCCAGGTTTTGTACTTCAGGTTTGATAGATGAAGCTAAAGAACGAGGTTTCTCAAAAATCATTTCTGTTTCTGTACCAACAATCAGTAATTCAGTTTTTTCATGATTTAATTGTAGAAAATTTTACGACATCCACTGAGAAATATCTGACACACAGCTGGTTAGTCTGTCTACAGAGTCCTGATCTTCAGGAGGAATAGAAATGTATAGCTGGGTGTCGTCAGGATAGCTATGAAAATTTGTACTATGTTTCCGAATAACATCACCTAGAGGTAGCATGCACAAAGAGAAAAGCAAAGACCCTAAGACTGAACCTTGGGGGACTCCATAAGAAACGGCAAATCATTTTGATGAATGATTTCCAAGTGAAATCATGAACTGCCTATTACTTAAATATGATTTAAACCATTCTAAAACTATGCCTGAGAGGCCGACCCAGCATTCAAGACGCTGGAGTAAAATCTTGTGGTCAAAGGCTGCACTAAGATCTAATAAAACCAAAATAGAAGGATTCTGTGCATCAGTGCTGAGCCTGAGGTCATTCATAATGCGAATCAGTGCTGTCTCTGTACTATGGTTAGAACAAAAACCTGACTGAAACTTCTCATATAAATTGTTCGATATTAGATACGTATTTAGTTGTTTGAAAACAACTTTTTTTAAGACTTGACTTGGAAAAGGTAGATTTGAAATCGGTCTAAAATTGTTTAGTATGGAAGGATCCATGCTGCTCTTTTTAGCAGAGGCTTCACCAGGGCAGTTTTTGAAAGCATCTAGAAAAACACCTGTTGACAGAGAACAATTTACAATAGTTAAAACATCATTGTGCACACAATCAAAAACCATCTTAAGGAATGAAGTAGGAACCGGGTCAAGATCACACGTGGATGAACTTAGTTTGTTTAAAATAGTTGTGAGCTCCTCATAGTTGATAACAGAGAAAGATGTCATTACTGATGTAGGTGACCTATCAGGAACATTATAGGAGCTTGTTTGAGTCTGCTGAGCTACACCCTGTCGTATCAGATCTATTTTATTTTGGAAATGAATTGCGAACTCTTCACAGATATTAGAAGATAAATCATCATTAAACGCACTAGCAGACAAGTTAGGGTTATTTGTCGGTCTATAGTGGAAAAAAGGATTTTGGTATTATTTTTGTCTCTATTGATTACATTATAGAGAGATATGACTGTCTGGACATATTTTTATAGCATTATTATAAACTGAGATCTGCTCTTTGAGAATATCATAGTGTACCTACAGTTTAATTTTCCTCCATAAGCACTCTGATTTACGACAATTTCTCTTAAGCTGGCGTATTTCCGCATTCATCCATAGATTTTTAAGAGTGCGCGAACTTTTCTACCTTTTTATTGGGGCGAGAAGGTCAAGGTTTTCCCGTAATCTAGCACTTAGACCAGAGACTAGATCATTACAGGATGGAGTCGTATCTGTATTTCGCTGAACTATTATAAACAGTTTTAAACTTCTCAACTGTTTCTGAGTCAATGTAACGTTTTTTTAAAGTAACTTTCAGGTACTTTCTTCTTTACTTCTAAATTGATTCGAAAGAAAATACAGAAGTGATCTGATAAGAAAACATCCGAGATTTGAGACACCTTTGTTTTTTAAACCTTTAGTGATGACCAGATCCAGGATGTGACTTAGCTTGTGGGTAGAGCTGCCCACGTGCTGCTTCAAATCAAATGTCTCTAGAAGTCTAATGAATTCTAATGCATTACTATCTGAAGGACTATCGATATGATGCATTACCGCATCGCTGAAAGTTCCACCAAAGCAGTGATATTATTTGTACGAAAGCATCACATTGCATAATTATTATTTCTTTTGAACAGCATCCAAACAAATAGTAATAAAGGGTGTGGATAACTTCCTTAATCAAGTTTTAAATGTAAAAACAGGTATATTTATGCCAGGCTCTTTGTAGCTCTTACGTAGAGTTCAGTGACCCTGAGGTTCATACACCCTTAAAAAAGATGGTTCTTTAACGGTTCTTTAGTTTAAAAAATGGTTCTATATAGAACCCCGAACACTCAAAGAACGCTTTGCTTAATTAATGCACTTTTGCATCATGAAAGCGTTCTTCAGATTGGTGGAGAATGTGCTGTAGATGGTTCTATATAAAACTTTTTGAAAAGGGTTTTATATAGCACCAAAAAGGGTTCTACTATTGTTATGATGACCGGCTTGTTACAGTGGATCAAACCAGGGATCCAACCTCTGTCTGCCACATGGAGAGCAGTGGTGTCACCCCCTATGTTATGAATAATTACAAGAGTAATCAATAGTAAATACAAGTATAGGAAATCACAGTTCCCAGCTTACATAGTTTGTTTTATTTCAAATGTAAAATAGAAAACAGAAGTTTGCATGGTCTGATTTGTTTGGTGGAGGCATCAACACACATTACTGCTCTCAGAAAAGCAATAATTATGTCCTGCACTATTGTCTGCTCCGTACAAACGTCTCTTGTCTCTTTCTATAGCCAAGTCAAACCAGCTAATAAAGTGAGAACTATCATTTCCCATGCTTGTGTTCATGTCTACATCCTTCTACATCAGTTGTCTCCTGTTCCTTCACTGTTTGTGCTATGTGCTATGGGCAACCTCCTATTTTCTTTTTCCTCTGCTCTTCTCTCTCTTGCATATCAGTTGGGGAAAAACGTGGAGTCCGTAACGATGATCTATGACTGTGATGATATGGGCCTGAAGCATTTATGGAAACCTGCTGCAGACCTGGGAGGAGAGGTAAGATTATATCCCTGTGTATTCTTCTCTGTGTGTACTCTATACTCTACTGCTCTACTATCTGCTTTGCCTCAAAAGAGCCTCTGCTGACCACTGAAATGTGTAAATATTTACATGTCATGACCCTTTGTTTAACATGGCGTAAAGAAACAGAACTCTTGAGAACTCATATTTTCGATCTTGCAGATCCTGACCATGTTTGAGGACAACTATCCTGAAACACTCAAGAGGTTATTTGTAATAAAAGGTAAATTGTAATATCCAGTTAATATACAGTTACACAAACACAATTTGCTTAGCATTGTTTGAAGTGAATATATTGTTCTGACAGCTTGTGTTGTGTGACTTGATGACTTGAAAATATCTCATTTTGTTGCAGCACACACACTGTTTTCTGTGGCCTACAATCTGGTGAAGCATTTTCTGAGTGAGGAGACCAGACGCAAGGTCATCGTTCTGGGATGTAAGATAAACACACAGATCAGCCTGTCTCTAGTATCTGTCCCTCAGATAGCCAATGCACACATGACTTTGGCTAAGAATGAATTCACTTAACTTTTAATTTAAATATAATAAACATATAACATGAGCTTTGGTTGATATGGGTTCTAGTAGAGTACTAATGATCTTCTGCCATATTTGTCACGAATATCTAGAAATTCAGTGTCCAATACTGAGGTCATGCAGTTTAAGCACACATTGGAATGTAAATTTAATCTGTTTTGTGCCTACTCAGCGAATTGGCAGGAAGTGTTACTGAAACATATCGACCCAGATGAACTCCCGGCCATTTATGGGGGAAAAATGACTGACCCCGACGGAGACCCCCGCTGCAGAACTAAGGTGAGAGAAGAAGATCTCAGAGGACAGAAAGGGTCGTCACACTACCTAACAGCACTGTTTTTATGCCATGGTATGTTTACTACTCTGAACGTAGAACTGTGCGTACCTGTGTCCGTTTCCCATCGGATAACGATATCTGTGAGTTCTGTAGCTTCTGTGTCAATTGATCATTTATAAATAAAAGATTGATGTGCCTCTCAGCCAATCACACCCATCTCTGTGCTGTTTCTGTCATCATGCAAAGGAAAAAAAATCTGACAAAAGTCCTCAAAACAAACCAGTCAGAATGTCTGTGACAGTAAATTTGTCAGAATTATTAGGCTAAGAGAGGTGCAGAAATGTTATTGTGGAGCTTGTAATTCAGACACATACTGTTTTTTTTATTATTATTTCATTCCTGAAGGCTGGAAATAATTTGGGTACAACTAAGCAGACAACACACTCACAGCTCAATCTCACAACTAGTAAGAGTCTGTGCCAGAAAAATCAGCATATGTTGCATTTCGGTATTCTGGTCAGCAGCAATGGAATTTAAAATGCCAGTCAACAGCAAAACCAGCATATGTTGTGTTTTGGAAATGACCATGCTGGGTGACCGGCTAAACCAGCACCAAACCAGCATAAACCAGTTTAGACCAGCATGGAATTCTTGCTGGTCTGTGCTGTTTTTCTCTGCCTGGATGTACTCTACGTTGTGTGCTTCTTAATTTTCTTTTGCGCTACTTTTTAGTCTGTTTGCCACAATGTGGTCTGAGCTAAAATTTGATGGACCTAACAAAAACTATCCATAAGCAGGATTTACCAGGATTTGGCAACGGTCAGTTGCATTTGTAGTAACCAACCTTTGGCTCTAAACTCATGGCCTTGTTTTATAGACTTATAGAAGTACAGTATGGGTCAGTTAGCAAAGGAAATGATAACAAAATATAATTTCTAACTGTGCTGTGCCGTACTACCCTGTAATTAATGTAGTTCTAGTGTCATAGTTTGATGTGATGCTAAATGCATTATTCCATGGTAATAGACATATAGTCCCTTGTTACCTGGTTTAAAATGAAGAAGAAGATAGTAATATCTTTTTGAGGGCTTGTGTTGAAAATCACCTGATATTGACCCTGTTAATAATAAGTTGTAGCTCTTGCAGCAAACACAGTCAAGCTGAGCTTGAACAGTGTTTATTGTGTTCATAACAGGATGGTCCAGTTTACAGTGACTTATTGTCTTTTATGGCTGTATCTGTAACTGCTGATCTGAACTACAGCTGGTACTGATTTAAATCGAATACTAGATTGTTAAATATCAGGCCTTGTTCAGAGTTGGTTAAAGCAGTGTTTTCTGTCTTCTAACGGGGTTTCAGTGAGACTGAGATGCATCATCTTTGCCTTTGCTGATATAATGCTTCCTGCTTACACAGATCAAGCTGAATTTACAACATCAAGCCTCTGTTTAAGATCAGGCAACGGCAGCTTTACCATAAGCCTTTTAGGCCTAGAATCTTGATGCTGTAGTGCTGTAGAAAATAGCCTATGCACTTCAGAAGAGCTGTTCTCCAGTATGAGCTCTCACTGCATTAGCAGTAGCATCGGCAAGCATCTCCTTAAATGCAGTTTGTTGCTCAACTGTGCATTACAGATTGCATTGACGCACTGCAGTGATTAAGCAGTCTGATCACTTTTTAGTGCTGGCAGTGAAAGTCAATCAATATCAGTCTTTCCGTTACAGATATTGGCACAGAGAACCATAATATCAAGGTTTTTTTATTAATATTTTTTTTTCTAGAACATTTACATTATGTAGAGGTTTTTTAAATGTTGCTTTGCTGTTGCTCACACTCGCACTATTGGGCTTTAACATTTTATTTTATACCGAGAGGATTCCCAATACGTTACAGAAATGCACTGAAGGTGTTCTGTTTCGTGATAATCTGCTGGTTCTTCTGTGCGGAGATGTTCATTCTTAGTAATGTATACTGTGAACATAAATGTAGATTTTATCTAAAGCATATTACATCTCCAAAGTATCATACTAACCACAGCAGTCTTACCATTAATCTTCCTAATTTTGAATAAGTTTCATTTTTTCTTTCTATCTTACGTTTGAACTGAATCACCCGCATGTTAATGTTCTAACCTGTTCGTCTCTGCACAGCTTAAGCAAGGAGGGCAGGTGCCCAGGTCTTACTATGCGCGGGAGTTTATCAAGGTACAGTATGACCAGAGTGTGTCCATCAGCCGCGGCTCCTCCCAGCAGCTGGAGTATGAGATCCTGGCACCGGGCTGCGTGCTCAGGTGAGAACACGGAAAACTATAGCGTTTAAATAAGATGGCACCCATCTTAGTAAACTTATTTTATAGAAGAAGCTTGTGATAATGTAAAGTACCCCTTTACGCATCACAATATAATGATTGATTGCAAACACTTACCTGTACTTACCTGAAGACTGATTATCCTTGCTTTGGGGAACAAAGAGAACTGAATGGGTTCACCTGCGATTTACTTACCAGGGTGAGTCCATCCTCTGTAGAGGATGGGGAGGACAAAAACTGCAAGAAGAGTAAAACTGGTTAAGAAGTGTACACTGAGTTGTAAATGAATATTAATGATGTTGTGAATGTAAATTTGATCAGTAAGGAAGAACATGAATTATTTACTGTTGCATGTAAATATATATTTGGATATATCAAGCACTTGTTTTAACCCGGGCCAGTAATGGGTATATCCTAGGGAGGAGCACCCCAAATATTACTGGGGGCTACAGGAGGATCGCTTCTTTCAGCTTGGTGGAAGATTGAAGGTGATGCGAGTGTCAGTCTCATAGCTGCAGAGACCATTTTCATTTTGTCTTCGTTTTGTTTTCGTTTATTATGTGTGCGCGTGTAAATATGTAAATAATCCTAAATGTTGGTGTAAATAAAGGTGATGGGGAGAAGAACTCTTGTAACAGCTTAATCCTTTCTAGTTACTTGGACCACTTGCCCGACGCTACCCATAAGGTGTGTCCCCTGCCACAGCATACTGCCAGATCGAGGGACGCACTTTATCACAAAGCTCATACAAAAATAGACATTGTATAAACTGTTGATGTTCAAATTATTTTATGTACAATAATCAGTACAAAGGTATGTAGTAGTAAAATGCACTAATTTGACACTTTTAAGATTATGGTTACATATAAGCATGGCATTCAACAGATAGTACTCATACAAAGACAGTGGGAAAATGTTCCTGTAATGTTTGTGCATAATTATAGTCTATCAAACCAACAGCAGCCTAATATACCACACATTTTGAATCAGATGTCACACTCCTATTGGTTGTTTATGTATTTTTACATAAACTACATTTTTAGTTGTTTTGCTTTAAAAAAGTTTTAAACTGTGCATAGGCTGTGTGAAATGTCACATGTTCCTATATAGGGTTGAATTATTTGGGGAAAATATCTAATTGCAATTTACCTGACTTATTTCGCGACTGCTATTTAAATTGTGACTGTTTTCTTTAATTTAAGCTCCAGGCTTTTTGTTTAGCCAAAAAGATCAGAATATCTACTTTGTCAGACTTAAGACTTAAACAATAACCATAGTGTTTCAGACTGCCAGTTAGCTGTGGCTCTGCTGTCATGTACCAACACATGAGTGTTTAGTTATGTCTGATTGGTCTAACTCATGTACAGGCAGTTCACAAGCTCTGTGTTCTTTCCTCACTTAAAACATATCAGTACTGTTGATAATGTAGGCCATAATTAAAATGGCAGCTCAAAAGATTTGAAAATTGCCCTCTTTCAAACTGTGATTTCAATATAAAAGTGTTACAAGAATGAGGGCTTCATTCTTTCCACAAACTGCTGCCTGTTTAAAGATGCTGTGAATTTCACATAGTTAGCAGATGCTAATAGTAAAAAGGAGAAAAGAAAAATGCACTGGACAACATAGCTTGTTTAGTAGGATAGGTAGACAGGTTCGGTGTCTGAACTTTGCTTCTTTGGTTTTGCGCTGGAGCTACGAGGCGAATGTAGCTAAAGTAAAGGAAGCTTACATACAGCTTTTATGTCATACAGTGTCAGAATTCACATCAGCAAGTCTGTCTTAGATTACTTAACAACTCTGTTTGAGGTAAACGTGTGATGATTTAGCCTCCATTACTTTTTAGCTACATGACATTACGTACTAGCTACATTACTTGGCTTCAGTGCAAAACTACAGATGCAAACTTCAGACACCAAACATGTCTTAACTAATTGACATTTGCGTAAAGGAAGAAAATTGTGTAAATTAGATTGTATTAGAAATTAGATTTTATTCTGAACTATCGCTTTTACTTTTTCTGTTTGTGTTTCTCTGTTCAACCCCTTGTCTCTTTCTCTTTCTCTTCCTCTCTTTCTCCACATCTTCCTGTCTTGGCAGATGGCAGTTCTGCTCTGAGGGAGCAGATATTGGCTTTGGAGTCTTCTTGAAGAAGAAGCTGGGGGAGAGGATGAAGGCGGGTCAGATGCAGGAGGTTGTGCCCAGTCAGCGCTACAATGCACACCTGGTACCTGAAGATGGATCCCTCACCTGCACAGAACCAGGAGTGTGTGAGTACAGAAAAAAGAGAAAGGGAATAATGTCTGAGATAATGAAAATGGATTGATAATGGAATTACTAATAGAATTGTTTTCTTTTCTCCAGATGTGATACGATTTGACAACACTTATAGCATACTTCAGTCCAAAAAGGTCAGCTTCACTGTGGAGGTCCTCCTGCCCAGTAATGACAGTCAATCAGAGCCTGAGATGAGCAAAGCATCAGAGCAGGAAGCAGCCAATAAGATGTGACTGTAGAACTGTTGGTTTGGAGACTGAGACTATAACTGCAAAGCAAACCAGCATTTGAAGCAGCATGTCTTGCACAAGACATTAAATGAAAAGAGTTTTAAAGCTGTAATTGCTACACAGTGGATGAAGTAACAAAAATGCTGCAGAGAATATGCCCGTGTTGACATAATTTTCTCTAAATCTTGTCTTAATGAAAATTTGCACAAAATTTGCATTAATTACAGCATTATTGTCCTGCTAATACAGTCCAGATACATTTTACACCGTGTTTATTTGAATTGGAGAGATTTCTATGCAGCTGTGCTGATAGAGGTTTTCCCCTGCATGTTTTGTTGCTAAGACAGGAAGAGAAAATTTACTTCTTGTATAGCCCATGTAAAGAAACACAAAAACCGGGGTCTCATGCGCACAGTTTCATGCATTACATGCACGTTTATACACATACAATGTGAACATTCTTATATTTGGAACTACTCCTGACTATGATAATGCTACCCCTAGTGGTAGAAAATTATAATTACAGGTAAACCCATTTTGAAATGTACAAACTCCCAGTAATTATCTGCTATTTTTGTTCCTGATTTATGTCTGTTGTACCAAAACCATGAAGAATTAGATAAAAATGGAAGTGCATTCCATAAGTTCCACTTATTCCTCATGATTTTATTCAACAACTGCGGTGTGCCAGATGCTTAACGTATCGGGAAATAAACTGGCTAACACTTTGCATGCTGCACTGTTTTTTCCCTTACACTTAGGGGTTCGGGTGGAAAAAAAAACAAAAACTGGGGCGCTAACTTACTAACAAGTAGTGCGCCAATGCCAAGTAATTTTATAATATTACAGATATTTTTGCAATATTTTTTTCACCTAGTCCTCAAAGAGCTAAGAGAAAAACAACCGTTGCCCTAGGGGTGTTTAAACATGCTAAGTGTAGGCCAGTAATGGATTTTTTTAGGCTTTTGATGGCTAAAATTTTACAAGAGATGCTGGAAACACGTCTTCAGCTGTTTTTGGTCTTTTATACAGGAAGAGAAAATGAATAAAATCAAACTTAGACTCAGGAATGCTCTTTCGGTGCTCTTACACTGTAAAACGTGTTGTCAGTTCAAGCTAAAAAACATACTTAATGTGGTAACAAGCACTAAAATGAAGAAATGAAGAAAGATGAACAATTGCTGTATTTTTCATTACTTCAAATCACAAAAAACACTTCAGATCAACTTCTGCCGCCTTCACTGCTTTTCTGCTTTCCGCTGTTGTCTAGTGCGCAGAGATATAGACCGTTCTACACATGCTTTGATGAATGTATCTATTAATAATTGGTGTTATTAATTATGAGGAATATAAGTCTTTGGATATACACTGATATATTTACAATGGAACTTGATAATTATATTCTTTTGTTGTTCCATTGGGCCAGTGTTGTTGTACAGTGGGCCAGAGCTCCTAGCTGCTAATCCTAAAGTAACTAAAAGCTTAAAGTTCAGAGTCGTATTCAACATGGACATAAAAAATACTAAAGTTCCTCCAAGTCTTTAATATACACTATGTACTCCATAGGAACAATCTAAAGTGTCAGGTTTTATCCCCAAACATAATACTACCTGGAAAAGAACATTCAGAAATAGAGGTACTGATGGAGATTAGGATTCCCGAAGCTCATTCCAGTTTCCTTAATCAGAAAGAAAAATCAAGGTTTATATACCAGAATAAGGAAATTACAGGTTGACTGAAGTGATCTTGATGACAGGAGTATTTACGTACCCATGTACTGGCAGTGAGTCACTGCCGCTTGCTGTTTTACAGCTTTACATCAAAATATAGAATTACAACATGGTCTATTTTATTTTTTAGTTAGTTATTTTCTTATACTAGCTCTTACATATTGCCCAGTTTTTCTACAGCAAGTTGTACAAGAACAAAGTAATGTTTGCATTTTTTAAGCCATCCCTACAGATGGGTGCATCATAGTGAGCTTCAGGCCATCCAAAGCAGTGTGAATGAAAATATTGCCTTTTATTTACTTAATGGTTCAATAAGCACAGTTAATCATTTTCTATATACTGACTATTTTAATCAGACCTTTTTAAAGTTCAATTTTTAACTACATAAGGCTCTTTTTTTCCTTTGGAATAGTGAACAAAGAATGTATTTTAATGTGCTGAGTATTGCCGTTCTGATGGCTGATGCGAATATTTGTCTTTTGTTTTGTTAATCATCAGGTGTCATTACAAACAGACTGATAATGCAAACACTTATTTTTTAATTGCAGGTATTAGTAATTCAGTGAATGCTTGAGTACTGCCTGTCCCTAAAACAGGACCCATAGATTAGTGCCTATTGTCTGCAGACCTGCAGTCTGTTTAATGTGTATCTTGCAGTGTGTTCTGGTAACTCACAAATTGCCTTATGTTGGATTAATTAACAAATTAAATGCTGATATTTAAATCACAGCAGTGTGAGTCTGCATGTGTTTGCATATGATGTGCATAATTTAAACACTTAACTGATACTGCCACCTAATGATTGTGTACCATATTAAGGACCTACATGTGGGCTCCCAACCACTACATGGTGCCAATGTTTTGATAAAGGTGAGCAGTATTACTCAGTATTCCTTCATACCATACATAAGAACATGCAGTGTTAGATCCATCCTCTAAAGGAAACATATATATATATATATATATATATATATATATATATATATATATATATATATGGAATTTTAGTGCACAAAAAAATGAACATGAAAAAAATATATAAAACGCACCATAACTTTTGCACATGCCACATTTGATGTTTTGTTTTATTTCTTATTTGTTTTTGTTTTTGAAACAATAATTGTCCAATAAAATGTGCAGAACTGTGTTTGATGTAGAGGATGTGTCAACTTATTTCCACTTAGATAATCCACAAAACATGTAACTGCAAAGGCTCCTATGTCCACATTTCAGTTACTCATTCTTATTGTTACCTGACTTACATAATAATGTACGTATTCATAGCACTTGCAGAATAATAAGGCTTAAAAGCATGTAAGATTTAGTGGCATGTAGTGGTGAGGTTGCTGACTGCAACCAACTGAATACCCCTCCCTCATCCCTCCCTTTCCAAACGTGTAGTAGAAACTATGGCAGCCATCAAGTTTTCTGCTGTCTCCTGTCCTGATTTTGTTTTCCTTCATGTTTTTCTTCTTTGACGATGAGGATTTACCCTCCTTCGCTTTTTCTTGTGCTGAATAATAAGTAATGATTGTCCATTTGTCAAAATTTGAGTTAACTCAAACTTCTCACAACACAAAATGTTCAGCCAGCACCGACAGCAACCACTAATTCTTCTTTCTGTTTCTTCCAACCAGAGCAATAGTGCCACCAAGTTCAAGCTGTTGCTTCAACGTAAAAGCACAAAAGGCGCTCTCTAGAGCCCGTGTTTGGTTTGTCTGCTCTGGGCTGCCGCAGAAACCTGCAGCACAACATGGTGGCCTCTGTTGGAAGAGGACACGCTCACTATGTAGATATGATGGGATCATTCTAAGCTAACAAAAACACAACTGTTCGTAGTTACAGGTTATTATACACTAATGAAAACATGGTTTTGTATACTATATTCAATTTCTGCTAAAAGATCCCTCCACATCTTACACACTGCTTTTTCTGCTTTTCACTTTAAGATGAATAACTGAACAGTAAGCCTGAGTGTTTTTTTTATTGAAGGCATGTGGAGGTAATATTTTACTATGTGATCAACTTCGCCAATGGTCTTTCTCAAGAGTTGCCTCAATGTTTTATAGGAGCTAAAATTAGACTGAAATAAATGAGGTTGTCCAGATCGGAGATATGATATAAAGTTCAGAAAGTACCACGCTGTGTTGACTCTTTCAATCATTATCAGTCAGCAGAGCAAGCAGCACTTTGAGTGCTGCTTCACTTCACACTTGTAGAATAATTTTAGAAGCAAGACCTAAATCAGTAACTATTAATAATAAATGAAAGCCCACTCCAAAGACCCCCAAAGCTGCTGGACTAATTAACTTAGCATCCATTTCAGTTAACAGCTCTGCAGCAGGGTTCATTCTTGGTGTGTGTGTGTGTGTGTGTGTGTACCAGGTTCATGCCACATTTTTGGGACCAACACACTGTGGGGTCCTTTCTTCCTTGTGGGGACCACTGTGTATGTGTGTGTGTACCAGGTTTATGCCACATTGTTGGGACCCATTCACTGTGGGGTCCTTTCTTCCTTGTGGGGAGCACTGTGTGTGTGTGTGTGTGGTGTGTGTGTGTGTGTGTGTGTAAGAGGTGTTCGACCCAAATTAACAAATCTGAACTACACTCATCAAAGGTTTCTTTGCTGATTTGCTTGATATTTACTGTTTTTGTGGGGAATACTTTTGCACAGTACACACAATAAGTACATTAAAGTTAGTAAAAACAGACTAATTTAGGTGAGACATTGTAGACTGCCAATTATTGCTTCAGTAAAATCACTTGTTAGCATAATATAAACTAATGCTTGGACTTTTTGGCATATCTCTCTTGAAATTATCATTTTTTTCTGTGTTTAATATTGCCATATGATCCAATTTGGCAATATGGCTTTACCAGATTGTAGGCCACAGAAAACAGTTTGCGTGCTGCTACAACAAAAAACACTGTGAGATATGACTTATTAAGTTACAGTACAAGCTGTCAGCAATCACTCAGAACAGTATATTCATTTCAATCGATACTTATTATGTAAGTCTATCATAAATGCAGTGTCTCAGTTATTTGCATTTTGTGCTGATTTTGAGCTGGAAATTAAAACTTAACTTTATAACAAACAGTCTCTTGCATCCTTCAGCACAGTTGTTCTCAAACACAGCCAGGATCTATTAAAGAAAAAGTCTTCTCATCGCTCAAAAGGTTATATTTACAAGCCATGTTCAGCAAGAGGTCATGATGTCTAAATATTTACACATTACAAGGGTCAACAGAAGAGAAATAACAGAAATAATATATATATTAGTTCATCTGTTTCTCTGCATACTTTGTTAGCCCCAAATATATATACAAATATTATATATGTATGTATATATATATATATATATATATATATATATATATATATATATATATATATATATGTGTGTGTGTGTGTGTGTGTGTGTGTGTATGTCTGTGTGTGTATGTGTGCATATGTGTATAGTGATTCTTGATGACTTCAAGACTGACATGTAAACACTGGCACTCACAAGGCCTGACTGTGGCTACCTTAGATTTCTTTTTTTTTTCAATTAAAAATTGTAAGTATCCTAAACATTTGATAAGGGTGGGATGTTTTCCCAGTAAATAGTCTTTCTTGCATTTATCAGCTTTGCACAGATTCCTACTGATGGATTTACTGTCAGCCACCAATACGCATTCTGAACCATTTTGTAGATCTTAGCTATTTTATTAATGCCATGTTTTTATTCATACCTACTTAAGGGCCTGTGTATTGAGAAAATATATATTTTAAAGATTTTTTGTGTATTGAGTATTGCTGTTCCAATGGTCCATGCAAATGTTTTGTCAGATATTTGTTGAAACGCAAACTTTTTTTTTTCCAAAATTGCAGTGTTATAATGTATTTGTGTTTCACTGAATGAAGTATTGTTTGCTATTTTGCTGCTTCATACAGGACCAGTAGATCAGTGTCTGTTGTGTCTTCATTGCTGTGTCTTCTGTAATACATAAATTGCCTTTGGCACTTCACACACACACACACACACACACACGAAATATGAGTGGAGCTAAATTTAATCACTTAGCCAACAGCGCCACTTGGCGAGTATTTACCACAAGCACAAAAAGATTATGAAATTAGAGAATTCCATCATAACTGACCACTAGAGGGCGCCAATATTTTAATAAAGACTAGCAGTTCACTCTTAACATCATTCTCAGGTGCCTGAACTTTTGCACAGTACTGTATGTGTACATATGTATGTATCTATTAATTCAGTAATTTATTTCGGTGATGCAGGAGGAAAATTGCGTACATTTTATTTTTAGGTGAACTATTCCTTTAAAAAGTTCCTTGATTTGGCACAACTCCTCCAGTCCACCTTAAAAACAAACCGAGTCCTCCTTAAAAAGCACACTAACCGGGGGGGGGGGGTTTGCCCCGTTCCATTCAATGACGTAACAATCGCAGAGCCCTAACGATCTCATTGGTGTTATGCTAACGCGGGTCTCACGTCGGAATCTCATTGGTGTTATGCAAATAAGGGTTCTATATCGGAACGTCATTGGCGCTATGCTAATAAGGCAGCGAAACTAGAGCTCTCATTGGCGTTATGCAAATAGCGGACGCATATAAGAGTCTCATTGGTGTCACGATGAAGGAGGAAGGCGCAGCAGCCTCATAGGTGCTATGCTAACGAAGGGGCGGCTAGTGCGGAATGAGTAGGTGACGTCAGCGCTCGTCCAGCGGACAGAGCGAGCCTGCGCGCGTGTGTCTGTGTGTGTGTATAACAAACATGGCGACAGGATGGTGCGGAAAGAAGGGGAGCGCGCTAACTTTGATGGTTTTTCTTTGCACCCGAGTTTGCACGAGCGCAGCGGAGAGCGGCGCGGGGGACGCAGGAGAGAGTCGCGTCCTCGGCATGCGGCTGGAGAGCAGCGACAAGCCGGCCACGACCGCCGAGGACGGTGTGATCCAGGTGACCGAGGAGAGCAGCGTGTCTCTCCGCTTCTACGGGCTGCACCTCAGCAACGACACCCGGGCGCAGATCAGGTTCGTGGACCTCGGGGGGGACGCCGGCGGTGGTGGCGGTGGTGGAGGAGGTGGCGACGAGGAGAAGCTCAACGGCACCTGCGCCGATTTCACCAAAGACATCTTCTTGAGGGGCAGCCTGAACGTGAGTAAGCAGGGCACCTCCGCGGTGCTGCGCTTAAAAGTCAAACTGCTGCGCAAAGGCGAGACGCACAGGGACTACGGGGTGTGCATCAGGAACGAGAGGGATGGCAAGTGGTACCTGCTGGGCGAGCAGGACGGCATGCTGCGCGTGGTGGAGGAGAAGAAGTCCTTGCTCCCCCTGTGGTTCCAGGTGATCCTGATCTCTGGCCTTTTGATGCTGTCAGGTATGTTCAGTGGTCTCAACCTGGGCCTCATGGCTTTGGACCCTATGGAGCTGCGCATTGTACAGAGCTGTGGCACGGACAAGGAGAAAAAGTATGCTCGAAAGATTGAGCCTATTCGAAGGGAAGGGAACTACCTGCTTTGTTCACTCCTTCTAGGTAATGTGTTGGTCAACACGACTCTTACCATCCTCCTGGATGACCTTATAGGTTCAGGTGTGGGTGCTGTGGTGGCCTCCACCATTGGCATTGTCATATTTGGTGAAATTGTGCCTCAGGCCCTGTGCTCTCGCCATGGCTTGGCAGTAGGTGCCAACACCATCCTGCTCACCAAGTTCTTCATGCTGCTGACCTTTCCTTTGTCCTACCCCATCAGCAAACTGCTGGACTGCGTCTTGGGCCAGGAGATGGGCACGGTCTACAACCGCGAGAAGCTGGTGGAGATGCTGAAAGTGACAGAGCCCTACAATGACTTGGTGAAAGAGGAGCTCAACATGATCCAGGGTGCACTGGAGCTCAGGACTAAGACCGTGGAGGACGTCATGACTCCTCTAAGTAACTGTTTTATGATTCACAGCGACGCCGTCCTGGACTTCAACACCATGTCGGAGATCATGGAGAGTGGCTACACGCGCATCCCTGTGTTTGAGGATGAGCGCACCAACATTGTGGACATCCTCTTTGTGAAAGACCTGGCCTTCGTGGATCCAGATGACTGCACGACCTTGAAGACCATCACCAAGTTCTACAACCACCCGGTCCACTTTGTTTTCCACGACACCAAGCTGGATTCCATGTTGGAGGAGTTTAAGAAAGGTCTGTTTGCACTGCAGTGTTTGTGGTGGGAGGTTGGGTCGGCCTGGGGCATCAGTGCAGGTTAAAGTTGCATGTTATTTACACTGAATAGAGATGTTATTCAAAGGGTGCTTGTAAACCTGTCACACATGGGTGATAACTGTCAGTTTAGGGACCAAAGTTGTCAAGCATCAAGTTGATGCTTTTGAAACTCAATTCCTTTTGGTTTGAAGGGGAGTTTCACCAAATTTTTTTCAAACTTTCTATATAATTCAGAAGCAGAAAAGCAAAGTCATTTAGAGCAGATTGATATGAAATGGTAACTTTGGAGAAGCTTTCTGCCTCTGATTTCTTTACAGTGGTGGCGATAGGAACCAAGGGTTGCCATGTTTGCAGTGCAAATATAGCAATTTTGTATAGTATCCAAACCCATAAGTAAACCTCTACTATTTATGTATTGTCAGTGGTGGCATAATAGTACTACATCTGGAGAAAAGTTTTCTTTAAGTACTATTTTGTCTTAAAATGCATGTAAAATGGTGACCTGTCCAGGGTGTATCCTGCCTTCCACCCAATGTCTGCTGGGATAGGCTCCAGCTCCCCCCCGTGACCCAGAAGGATAAGCGGCTTAGACGGTGTGTGTGCGCATGTAACTCTCCACCATGAACAGATCTGAAAAATATATGTTGTAGGCCAAAACATTATTTTAAAACTGTAAGGTAATGTCTCAGGCATAAGGCGACATGTTTATAGCCATTATACGTAATAACTTTCTCTAAGGTAGCTTTTAGAGGCACTGAGAAACACTTGAGACATCTGGTTCCTATCACCACCACTGTGAGTAATTCTGACGGTAAGGTTCTCTAGAACAGAGCGCTTTACATCATACCACTGAATGACTTCTACACATATCTGAATCATTGAATTTTGAAAAATTGGTGGTTTTCTCCTTCATGCACAGCATGCATGTGTTAAGTCATTTTATATACATTGGGGTTGCACAATATGAACAGAAGTCCATGTTGTGAATTAAATAACTTATTTTACTTACATTGTAACTTATGTTACATATTTTAAAACACAGTTTAAAGATTAACCAGTCATTTTGCCCTAAAAGACTAGTTGGGCCATGTGAAAGCATTGATTCATACAAACACTCCCAGAAGCTCACGTTGGGTGTCTGAGGTGGGTCAGGGTGCTCACATAATAGAACACTCTAGGTATTATATATACATAATACATAGTAAAGCATTTGGTTTTGCAAAGGCCAGTATCACAATGATTAACAAATGCAGCGCTAATATGCACTGATGGAGAGTAAATATAAATATTCCACAGTGATTCATAACAGGGATGAAAGCTTTCACCTTGGACCTCACCATTCTCCTAATCTGAGTTAATGGATACACCTCCCACAGACACGAACAGAAATGCAGCACTCTCTTTAACCTTTATGATATTCTCTCATATTCCTATTCACTTGCGCACACTTGCTTGGACACAAACTTCCAGACTCGCATAAACACTCCTGCAGTACCACAGCGAAGGCATGCTACGACACATTAAAGCAGCCACAGATCTTCAGCAACGATACGAGAGCAGCACCTTTCTTCTCTCTGCGATAGTAACTATGAGCTAAAATCCTTTTAGAACAAACATCTCAAATCTATGCTCTGATCCTTTATGGTGCAGGTCTTACTGGCATCTGTGACTGCTGAAGCACATACACATAAACACGCACTCAAGGTTTGTGCACACTCCAAAAAGGATAGTCCAATACTGTGTTTATAACTGCTGTATTTCTGTATCGTTGCTATGGTGGTCACAGTTGAATATGTAAGTGATCGAGTAATCGAGTAGTGATTATTTTGATGATTAAATGAGTAATCAGAGTTTATGTATAAGAAAAAAATAAAGCAGTATAAATGGACCGATTAACAGCCATCAATCAATGGTTACAAAATACACTTCAGTTGAAAAAGATAAACCAGACTCCCTTCGCATTTACTTAAACAAATATTTGGCTAAAAATACATAAACGGTTGTGTCCGTCAGGCTCTGTTTCTTACTCTGAGACCAGTAGGAGAATTTAAAATATGCATTATTATGTAAATTGAAAATGAATCACTGCTGATTCATAAAAAAGTAACTTTTAAAGGGGTCCTCTGGTCAAAAAGTAAAAATAACTTAACCGTTGCTTCATCTGTTGTAAACATGCCTACCTCAGTGCCCCAGTAGTCTCAAGAGTGAGAATCTTCCTAGCCATTAAACGGAAAATCCCGCTCTGGTGGAAGGAACTTTTGAAAAACTACAACTGCTTTGGGCTGGATTTTGAATAGCTAACATCATGGCTAGGAAGCCCAATTGGTACAACATAGGAGTGGTACATCACTGGCTATGTTAGTGGTGTTAGGGGTGTCCTGGATGGCTGTATGACACATTTTTGTAATGCATGTTGGGTATTTTGGTGAGAACACTGATGGACGAAAACACAAAAAACTGTCAAACCAAATGAGGTCGGGGGCGTTGGAAATGGCTGTTTTTGCAGCATTGGTTCCATATATAGAGTTTATGGATTGAGGAGTGAACTGTGTTATAAAACTAACATTTACATATCACATAAAATTGTTGTATTTAAAAAAAAAGATGTTTTCCATGACATGGGCCTTTTAACAATCAGTAATCATGGCTCCCAATAGGTGACTTGTGCCTTCCACTCCTGAGGCTCTCTCTCGCTACAGGGAGCTGGTGTGAGGAAGGTGTTTAATTGTGCCAGATGTCCTGAGCAGCCAGCAGCCCTTTTACTTTTTTCTTGTACTTTATTGACCTTGATTCTTATTTCACAATTCTCCTTCACTGCTCTCATGTAGGACTGAAGTCATCAGAGAGCTTCACTTGCTGTTTTACTGTGTCTTATACCTCCATAACCTCTTGGGTCTGTTTTGGCTCAGCTGATTTTGTTTTTTTCACAGCCAGGCATGGCTCACAGTAAAGAGGCTAAGTCCATTATATTTGACCTGAGGGCACAAGTTTACAGTCAACAGCCTTTGGCCTGGTGCTTTACACCTGCAAGCAGTGCTGTCCTTACTGTTCTTACACATTCTTTAAAGTATGGCAGTGGTAAGGAAAGTTTACACAATAGAATTTAAAGAATGACACAGATGATTGATAAATATTTTGAAACTGCAATATATAATAATGAATAAAAAGTTTAGTGTTGTAAAGTTTCAGTTGTTAAGAAACTTTAAGATTAAACCAGCTTTTCTTTTTTTTTGATGAGTGACTAGAGAGAAGGCATCCTTGATATTGATTGATCAGCTGTGGGTGATGTATAGCACCCATATAGTGATCTGGGCACACATACAACTGATGGTATCTGGGACACCAAAGACGATTTTTCTGATGGCAGAAGTGCAGCATTAATTAAACTGCCCACTGTTACAATTTTGCAAACTTTTGCCAGCAACATGAACTCAGAACAGTCACGATCGTCTCTGGTGTTGGCATGGCGACAACCAAGATGTGTTGAAGATCTCTGTGCTACTTTCACGTTTCCAAAGCAGAGAGTAGCCTGTCCAGTGTCACTGTTTACTCATTCTGTGAGCAAAAGATTTGGACTTAAAGGCATTCCACTCACTTGTTTTCTGCTTCGTCATGTGTGGAGTTGCATCTTCAAAGATACAGCGACCCCAGCTGTTTGTGAATGCACTCATAAAGTTGTAGCTGCTGAATGTAGTGGAGAAGCTCTACATTCTCCATTCACTTTTCCAATGTGGCAAGCCTCCTGCACAGTTTGCTGGTTTTATAGGAAGCAAATTATATTTTTGGGTGGCACAAATGATGCTAAAAAAATTGCAACAGGTGTGTATATTTTTGATGCGAAGAATCAGAATATTTAGCTTTTTCATGCATGTATTTGTGTCACGTTTGGTGTGTAACAGGCTAGAGCAGTGCTTGTCAGTCATGGTGCGCAATCCTTCATACACAACAATGAAAAGGAGCGCGCTTGAGGGTTTGGGAAGGCGTCATCAGAATGCCCACTTGGCCTGGACTTGCCTATAGTTTACATATAGAGTGCTAATAGACATAAATTGGCCTACTGACCCAAGCTCATGTTCCATGTTGCCCTCTGTTGTAAAGCCATGAACGGCTCCAGACTCTCCTTATTTGCTTTTTGATACATGCTTTTTTCCAGGTAAAACATTGATCTGCCATCGTTTGTTTTTTTTGGTTGCATGACAGCATTTTTTGGCCAAAAGACGTTTTTATTTTCTTGCATCATAAGACTATGAGAACATCTTATTTGTATAGTGTGCTGCAGGTCAGACGAGAATAACTGAATTCACGCAGTTTGATACAGAACTAGGCAAAGATTTCTGTCTCAGCATCTAATTCAGCGTGAGATGCAACTGTTGTTACCGCAGTGTACAGTGGGCTGCAGCCAACTCGCTCTGTGCTGACACATGGCCTTAGTGAGAAAGATGCACTGACAAAATGAGAAGCGTTGTGTATCCTAGGGTTACTGGCTCTGTTTTTGTTGTGGTTGCATGCATGAATTCAGGCCTTCATTCCCATGCAAACCCCCATCCCTTGCCTTTTCGTAATGACGAGGGTCATGTAGTGACCTTTTACTTCTTTAAAGGAATACTCCAGAGTTTTTCAACCTGTCTGCATTATACAGTCGATTACCAGGAACAGTAATATATCTATGCTAAGAAAAGAACTTATATCCCCTTGTCTCAAACATGACAGTGGGAAGGTGCTACAGCGACCACCCATTGGCTTCCACTATAAGTGCTTTTGATTCGACGGTACTAAGGTCAGAGAAATGTGTTTCTATTATTCTCTACAGTGTTTGACCATATGTTGCAGGTGCAGCAGATAGAGATTAGGTTGAAAGACACTGGAGTATTCCTTCAACTGTATTTTGTGATAAGAACAATACAGTAGAGTACAGAGGCTGCAGGAGTTGGGCTCTTGTTGTTACTCTCCTAGGTGACTGCACACTCGCTCGTGTCAGG